TAAGTCAGTTATTTCGTGATTTCATAGATATTTAACATTGTATACATAGTTATTCTGTGTTAAATAGTTATACAAAATAATGATTTCATAGATATAAACATTATACATAGTTATCCAGTGTTGCATAGTTATACAATATAATGATTTCATAGATATTTAACATTATACATAGTTATCCAGTGTTACATAGTCATACAATTTAATGATTTCATAAATATAAACATTATTCATAGATATTCAGTGATTCTATAGTTAAACAACATAATAAATAAATATTCAGTGATACATAGTTTAGTAATACAACATTATACATAGATATTCAGTGTTACATAGTTATAAACCATTAAACATATATATTCAGTGTTATAGTTATATAACATTAATCATGGATATTTGGTAGCTATGCAACATTTTCAAAGATATTCAGTGTTACATAGTTATAAACCATTAAACATATATATTCAGTGTTATAGTTATATAACATTAATCATGGATATTTGGTAGCTTTGCAACATTTTCAAAGATATTCAGTGTTACATAGTCATACAACATTATACATAGATATTCAGTTTTACATAGTCACACAACATTGAACATAGATATTTAGAGATTTCATATATATACAACATCATACTATATACAGTATACATATATATTCTGTGATACATAGATATACAGTTATATACTTAGATATGTGACTAAAATCGTGGAAACATTTTGGTATTGATATCTAGCTTGTGGATAGCTAGACTGAAACCTTGCTTCTTATAAGGTCAGATTGTCCCCAAGATTTGGGATCGATATATAGCTTGTTGATAGCTAGGCTTGTGTCCCTGTGCGGCATTTAGAGCGGATCATCCCCATCATTAGGAATCAACATACAGCTTGTTTGATTAGCTAAGCTTGTGTCCCTGTGAGACATTTAGAGCGTTGGATCGTAACCATCATTTGGGATCGATATATACATATAGCATGTTGTATAGCTTGGCTTGTATCGTTGTGGGGTATTTAGAGCACTGGATCGTCTCCTTTATTTGGGATCGATATATAGCTTGTTGTATAGCTAGTTGTATCCCGTGTGTGGCATTTAAAACCTGGATTAATAGCTTATTATTAATAGCTTGTGTCCCTTTGTGGCTTTTTTAGCCAGGTTGGTTGTGTCCTGGTTGACACTGATAGCGGACGGGTTGTGCCTGGATAGATACGTTTCGAGAACTTGTTATATACAGTTTTATACTTATATATTTATTAATACATAGATAGTAATACATACAACATTTTATATTGTCACGTGGCTAAAAATTGTGATTTATTCTGTAGATATACCTATTAACCCTATTCAGGCTGACGTCGGGTTAACCCGAAATAGTCTGGAGGACCCTCCCTCTCTATTTCCATAATTTAATACTAATCTATAAAATTTGATACATTTTTGGAAAGCCCTTGGGCTCTATTTAAGTAATCTGCAAAAAAATTGCAAATTTGCAAAATTTTGAATATTAATTGCAATATCAAGTTATTAACAAGTAAAAAATGTGCAAGAACAAAAAGTGCGCGAAATATGACAATTTATACATTTTTGAAAAACCCTTGCCACGGCACATTAAAATTTGCAAAAATGTTCGCAAAATTTTCTAAAATTAAATTTGTATTCAAGAAAAACTGAAAATGTACAAATTTTCTTTAAAGGCATCTGTGTAAAATTCTATGCAAAATTTCTTCGCAAAAGTTGTGAGATCTGATTTCTGTCGTTCCAGGCTTTCCAAAGAGCTATAAAAAGTCTAAATCCAATGACCGAAAGTGGGTTTAAATATAGATTTAGTAGAGTACAGATAAAAAAAGGCATTCAGGCAGTATGCCTGAGGACTCAGGCAGTTAGTATAAAAGCCCTGCTTTAAGTCTAAAGTGAGGGACATTTGATAGTTATAAAAGTCATAAATTTGAACAGCCTCAGACCAATAATTTTTGAGTTATCTCCAAAACACGCCAGGGGGGTGTCACTGGGATGGCAAACCCCCCCCCCCCTCAGCCGTAACAGGGTTAATATAAAAATGTAGGTATCTTTTTCATCACTATCTTTTCCCGATATTGCTATTATTCCTTTCTCTCATTCTTTATATTTACCTTTTCCTTCCTCTTTCTAATCTTATTTTTCTGTTTGCATCCTAATCTTTTACCTTCTCTTTCCTTCCTTATCTTCTATATATAAATTTGGCTTGTCTGTTTGTCTGTTTGTCTGTCTGTCTGTTTGTATCCAATAAACGTCAAAACGGCTGAACCGATCGGGCCCAAATTTTTTGTGGAACATCTAGGGACCCCAGGGAAGGTTTATGAATGATTGAAATTTTAAAAATTTGTGTTTTAGAGGTTTCTAATTTTGTAAAAAAAATTTAATTTTTGAAAATCCGCGAATTTTTTTTTTAAAAATCCGCAAAACTTTTTTCATCTTTGTTTTGAAATGTACACAAAAAGAACATGTTCACAATTTAAATAGAAGATGGGCGCGAAGCGCCCTATAAGCCTAGAAAGAAGGGCGCGAAGCGCCTTGAATTTCTAGTATTTATAAATTCTTAACATACGATTCTGTTTGTATCCTTCTCTGTTACCTTCACTTTCCTTCCTTATCTTAGTTATAAATTCTTATCTTATTTTTCTGTTTGTAGCCTTATCTGTTACCTTCACTTTCCTTCCTTTTCTTATTTATAGATTCTTATCTTATTTTTTTCCTTTCTTTCCTTACCTTATCCATCTTATTTCATTCTTACTCGTCTATACTAAAATCTAAGTTATCTTATTTCTACTTAATCTGTCCTTAACAACTGTAAATTGTGCTTTATCTTTACCAAAGGGACTAAACACTCCCCGTTAAACTCTGATTAATTTTCTAATCCCTATATTTTTGCAATCTAGTGTTATTCAAACCTAGATCCATGATTATGCAAACCTAGATCTTTGATTATCAAACTTAGATATTTCAAACTTAGACTATATGATCGAAACAGAATTAATGGTTTGACATTTCATAGGTCTTTGACACCAGATTGCAAAGATATAGAGATTTAAAATTAAAATTGCTGCCAAGTGCATATAGATCTTATATAATATTTGTAGAAAAACAAAAAATAGCTGTCTTCCTAAATTTATATCTTAACTTTTCTGAAAACATAAATACATCATATATTTATCATAAATTAGAATACAATGAAGGTGAAATATTTAAATTTGATTTCATTAACGCTTGAACAAACCCTGCTTAAAATTCACTTTTTTTTGGGATAAAATTTTATTCGTAAACGTCATTGGATATTTGGACAATATATCAAATTTTGCACACAACATTTTGTTAAAAGTCAAAAAGTTTGAAATCTTTGTGCTCAGAAAAAAAGAGTGTAGGGGCGCAAACCCCCTCCCCCTTCCTTCTGTCTCCAAGTCTGTTTGGGTTGAATATAATTTGACTCAGAGAGAAGACACAAGCCAATCATCCATAAAATTAGCAATACTTATCTTTCGACTTTATAGCGATTTTGCAGGTTTTAGTGCATATAGAGGGGGGATATCCCCCCCACCCTTTCCATGAACGAATCATACAATTTGAAGAAAAAAAACATTTTGAAATTTTTAATTATCATTGATTTTGTGTAAATGTATCTTTGGGACAGATATATGGTAGGTGAAGACTGTAGAATGTGCATCCTATATATATCCTATATATACATATATATACATCATGGTTCCGGTGGTTTATTTTCTCTGGTTTTTAATCAACCATGGTTTTCCTCAGCAACGTAAACTAACCTTAAAGAGATGGTTCGTGAAAATGTTTTAAAGGTTGTGAATGAATTAAAATAATTGTTTATCGCTGAGCATTATTTTCTTTTCAGAAAAGCACTTGAGCTAAAATAGTTGTATGGTATGGTATGGCATGGTATGGTATGGTATGGTATGGTATGGTATGGTATGGTATGGTATGGTATGGTATGGTATGGTATGGTATGGTATGGTATGGTCTGGTATGGTATGGTATGGTATGGTATGGTATGGTATGGTATGGTATGGTATGGTATGGTATGGTATGGTATGGTATGGTATGGTATGGTATGAGACTTCAGAGACGACTGTGCGGAATTTATATTGTCTATTTCATTTTAATCATGATTCCCTGCAACTGTAAACTTGTTTCTTTAACGATCCAAAGATTAAATTGAGTCTTCTGCTCTAAATTTAGTCTTTTAATGACTTATTTAATAATTTGACAAAGCGTAATTAGGTCTTTTTTGTGGGTAGCTCTGTAAACTCACGCCATGTCAATATTTTCATGAATTTTGTTCATGAAGTGTCAGTGCTTTTTTTGTAGATTAATCATATTAACGAAAAATAGTGTGTTTGCTTGCTGAAAAGAAAGGTTAACTCTGATTATTTACTTCTATTGTGAATTAATTTAATATTCATTCGCTCATTAATATTTTCAAATGGTTTAAGCAGGATTGTAAGGTCATTTCTAGAAACTGCATACCTTGTCGAGTTTAAACTAGTTTCAAATACAATTATTCTTTATCTACGTTTTCACATTGTTTACCGAACTTATCTGTTTTCCTATATAACCCTGTTCATTATTAAACCAATATCTCATTACATTACGTTTCTGTAGGATCTAACATTATATCCCTGATGTTATATTTTACATTATATCCCTGATGTTATCTTTTACATTATATCCCTGATGTTATCTTTTACATTATATCCCTGATGTTATCTTTTACATTATATCCCTGTGGATTGTAATCCATTTTATCATGATATCCTTCATATAATAGTTTACATCTAACATTCCCATTTCTAAGTTCTTGGATTCTTGATGGATTTCAATCCTATTTCTATATTATTGATCCATTTCAACCCGATATCCTAATAGTTAGTTCCAGATGTTAAACTGCACCTATAAACTACTATAGAGCTTAAGAGTTATTATGTAATGTTGGAGCTGCACAACTGGATTCCAACGCAAATATTTTATAAATATTTTAAACTGTTTTAGAATAAAAAAAATGGCGCCCGCCTGGGGTACACCTACCTCTACACTGGACTGGTGTGAAGAAAATTATGAGGTTTTACATATTTTAATTGTTTTATTTGTGACTAGCTGAAGGACAAATTTTGAAATAAATATTTTGAATTTTTTAGCCTATAACATCCCCGGCCACCCTTGAGTGTCCACAAAAAAAATCAGCCCAATCGGTCCAGCCGTTTGGCCAGCTATACGCAACATATATATATATATATATATATATGTGAATGTCTTGATTATATAGATTATTTTCTTTATCAACAAATGAGTAATTGTTATCCAAAAATCAGAACTTTTGTGTCATGAATCTCGGAATCAAGCATTGATCCCTTATTTAGATCTACAGATCATACCCTGTAGGGATAGCTTTAATTCAGGGATCAACCATTATTCTAAAATCTAAAAGTTCCCAAATTGGATATTAAAATCAATTGTTCAAGATTAACAATATCCACACAATCTCAGCACTCACAAATAAGGTTTCCATCGAACTTTCGCGAAAAAATTCGTTCGTATTTCGCAAACTTATTCGCGAAATTTCGCATTTTTTTCAAAAATGAATTTTGCGAAAGGAACCAATTTTTGTGGGTAAAAAGCGACAGTTTGGTGAAAAATTGCAAAAAAAATTCGCAAAGTTTTCGCTATTTTTTTCGCGAAATTTCGCGAAACGATTTCATTATTTTTACATTATAAGGGACTGACTACGTAATTTCTAGTAATTATCTATTCAGAGAGATTTAACATGATACCTTTGAGACCTATATCTGAGTATAACAATTAGTAATATATCAGCATATTGTTTCTTAGGAGTGTTCAATTCTCCTCATTTCTTTCATTCTTTTTGCTTCATAGATGTACAAATCCGCAAGTCTCTTTTTTCTTATAAAGAGAAATCACAATTTCAAAATGATTTTTGATTTATCTAGAAAATCATGGATATCTTATTCATTATGATCAGTTGAGCACATGGTTTCATATTCCAATCGAAATGTATGACGTTGCTATAAAAGAACAATTTCAACTTTATCTGCTTTATACAGGGTACAATTCTTTTAATTAAAAAATCAAGCAACCTGTATCAAAACCTGTTTTATATATTTTATATTTCAAGAAATTAGATTCATAAAATATGGACAGATTTATAATATTTGATTAGTTTATCAAAATAAACCTCAATTGGGTTTATAGAATTTTAGAAATAAACTTAAAATATCATATTTGGTTTTCATTATTAATAACAAAACTAAAACTTAACATAAAATACCAAATAAAAGGGAATGAATCAACTATTCAAATCAACTCAACATATTTCAAAAATAATTTCTGCTAAAGTTGGCTTTATCACAATGTACAATATATTGACTCTGCAGGCAGAAGATACATAGCCTGGCCGATTTTTCGAATATATACAAGCCTGGCCGATTTTCCGAATATACAAGCCTGGCCGATTTTCCGAATATACACAAGCCTGGCCGATTTTCCGAATATATACAAGCCTGGCCGATTTTCCGAATATATACAAGCCTGGCCGATTTTCCGAATATATACAAGCCTGGCCGATTTTCCGAATATATAAGCCTGGCCGATTTTCCGAAAATATACAAGCCTGGTCGATTTTCCTAATATACAAGCGTGGCCGATTTTCCAAATATACAAGCGTGGCCGATTTTCCGAATATATAAGCGTGGCGGATTTTCCGAATATACAAGCCTGGCCGATTTTCCGAATAGTTTGTTAAAAGAACAGTTGATTTTGCTTCGTTCGGGCTTAATCATCACAATCAACATTTTGCTTATAGTTTTTAGTTATTTATTTCTAGGGTGGCATTATTGATTCACAATCATGATGAACTTGCTTTTGAAAGAATTGCAAGCAAGAAAATGGCTTAATTTTGTAAAGCTGGTGGTTAATTCAAGAGACAGTAAGCGTAATTTCAAATGACACTTCATACAGTTAAACCCTAAATATTAAATACATCGAAAGAATTTATCAAATGTCGTGTTCTTCACTTTCTGATAATGGAATGTTGCTAATTTTTAGATTTTTAATAAATGATTATATATGGAGCTCATATATAAAACTGTTCTCGCATATTCATTGCAGCTATTTATTTATTTTCGCAAATACTGAGATTTACGTAAAATACAGGTTGTCCCACAAAGAATGACAGTTGGTGAATAGATTTAAATGTATTCTTCCATAATTTGTTAAGTTATTTGATACCAAAGAGAATAATAAAATATCCCATGGCATTCATAATTTAGAAAAATTGAATTAAACTGCGAAAAGTTTTTAATATCTAACAGTATATGGAAGAAGACATTCAAAACTATTAACCAACTGTCATGTGTCGTGGGATACCCTGTAGTATAAAACTCATTTAAAAATTGTCAAGATGACATTTCATAAATTCTTTCGATGTATTTAATATTTAGGGTTTAACTGTAGAAAGATGGGAATGTACAATTCACAACGGCAATCTCGAAACCTTTATCTGTAGAAAATATTCTCGTTTTTTAAGTTTCAAGTGTTTATTTCTGCGACAACACCTTTAGGTTTTCCTGCCGTAGAAATGCGAAAATTGCTTCTGTAGAAAACCCACAATTTACTTGAGCAGACAACGGTTGTAAGGGTACAGTTGTGACTTGCATTCCTTGCATATTGGGTCACTTGAAATTACGCTTACAGTCCCTTTAAATTGAACTTTGTTTAGGTGAGCTGGGCAATAGCTGAGTTTTGGAACACAGTTTCCAATTTATTTATGATTATACCAGCGCTTTACGGAGTTTATCAAGCTAGAAAACAAGGTCTTGAACACAGGTAATCTCATGCTAAAGTATTCATGATTATATCCGCTCTTTACAGTGTTTATCAGCTAGAAAACAAGGCCTTGAACACAGGTAACTTCATGCTAAAGTATTTATGATTATACCCGCTCAATACAGTGTTTATCAAGCTAGAAAACAAGGCCTTGAACACAGGTAATCTCATGCTAAAGTATTCATGATTATACCCGCTCTTTACAGTGTTTATCAAGCTAGAGAACAAGGTCTTGAGCAGAGGTAATCTCATGCTAAAGTATTCATGATTATATCCGCTCTATACGGTGTTTATCAAGCTAGAAAACAAGGTGTTGAACACAGGTAACTTCATTCTAAAGTATGTATGATTATACCTGCTCTTTACAGTGTTTATCAGCTAGAAAACAAGGTATTGAACACAGGTAATCTCATGCTAAAGTAAACATATTTAAATCGTGTTCTTGATGTGCTTAATATTAGGAACTAAGTTTTTTGGGGCGCTTCGAGTCCTCTTTTAATTCTAGTATTAATGTTAGCTTTTCATGATTTGTTTTTAGATATGTAATTGTGAACTATTTGTTCCTTCTGGTAGGAGTTGGATCTTGGCTTTTCCATATGACTTTAAGGTAAAGAAAATGAAGAAGAAAATGATATAATTCTAGTGCTAGAGAGTAGGGTTGGGATTTGTTTAAAAACGATCTAAGGTAAAGAAACACTGACTATCTTCTTTTTTATTTTCAGAAATGAAATAATTCTTGAAAAAGATTAAATTTCTTGACACATACATTTTGTCACACATATCCCCAGGATCAAGAAATATATAGACCAGGAATCGTCATATCTCATGCGTCAAAACATAGTATTCAGGGGAAACGCATAATTTTTTAAGGAAAAGGGTCCAAGAGGTGAAATAAGAATATATTGCTATTGTATTTTCCATATTGACCAGAAAGCCAAAAATCATAAGTATTCGCTCTAACTTGATATATTAACTTGTTTTTTGTTGGACTGTAATATCACATCAGAGTTTTAGTCCTTTCCCTTCAACTTCTGTGGGGGCACTGGGTTTGTTTACATATATAGATGGTCTATGCACAAAAAGAATAGAATATATATTAGAGGGGAATTTAATAGAAAAAATTGTAAAACGACCATTTTGTTGTACTGTTTCCATACTGCAGGTGTACTTCACATATTTATGCTATATAACCTTTTGGGCCCTGGAACATCATTTTATAGAAAATCTAAAATTAATATTAAAAGAAAACCAAATTATGATATAGGCTGGTTTATAATTGAACAATGATCATTTCACTTAGACTCTATGCCTTTCACTTTACAAACGATGATTTTCCGTTATAACTATAAATCAAATGATGTTTTTTATTCACCTTATTCATTATAACGTTTATTTAACAGCTTTAAATTCGAAATTGAAATAGATAGTCTAGGGAACATACTGTATTAATGTACTCTTTTGCATATAATTTGTGAACATTTACATGATTTGTACACTTTGAACTCTCTTTCAGGCTGAAAGGGACTGAAAAAACTCATACTGAGAAATTCTTTAAATTCCACTCTAATATATATATTCTATTCTCTTTGTCTATGCAGCTGCTGGATGAAATACCTATGGTGTGGGGTACAAGCTATATGAACTACTGTTTATGTGTCTATGTATATCTAGATGGTCTATGCAGCTGCTGGATGAAATACCTATGGTGTGGGGTACAAGCTATATGAACTACTGCATGCATTTGGTAAATATTTTAACAATTCCAAACATATTATTATAATCAGGATAATGATAACAGCGATAATAATGACATAATTAACAACATTGATAATGTCATTATCAATAACAATATTAGTGATCAAAATAATAATAATAATAATAATAATCATGAAAATAATGATAATAATCATATTCTCCTTTTATTACAAAATATACCCAACTGGAATGCTTAAATAAAGGGCATTAAAATATTCATTTTAAAATTAAAGAAAAACTTTTAAAACCTCAGTAAGTTAATCTATATCTGGTGAATTGAAACACTATTTACTTGTTAAGGTTGCGTTTAAACCAAAAGAAGGTTCTCCGAAGATGGCAGCAGCGCTAACCTTGTACAATATTCTCTTTACCCTGGTTTATCTTATCTTTAGGAATCCGCTTATTCATGAGGTAAACAATTATAATCAAACCAAACAGGTCCAAACAAAATAAAACCAAACAAACACAAACCAAAACCAAATTAAACCAAACCAAACCAAATCAAACCAAACAAAACAAGACTAAACTAAATCCAATCAAACCAAGACAAACTCAAACCAAACCAAACAAAAGCCAAATAAATCACACAAATATATATCTATTTACCAAACCAAACAAAATAAAAACCAATCAAACCAAACCAATTAATATCCTCTCAAAGCAAATCAAACTAAAACCAATAAAAAAGCAACATCAACAAAATCCGACTATGAATCCACTCTAAATAAAACCCAATAAAAACCAAACAAGGCCAAACCAAAAAAAGTGTTCAACAAAAACAAATAAAACCAAAATCAGTTTTGTTTTTATTTTAATCTTTGTGAAGAAACAATCTTAAGAACTGGTGAGGGTCAACCCAGACCGAAATTCAATAAATGTGGAAATAACATCTACTTTTTTCCTCTACAGAGGTTTGGTCCATCACCATCACCGAATTTTAAAAAAACCTGATACTAAACCAAATACAGTATCAAACCAAGTTAAATCAAACCAAAACCAATCACACAAAACCAATCCCGACAAAACCAAACTAAACCAAAAAAGGTCAGACCAAATATAAACTTATCAAACGAAAAAAAGAAAATTATTTCAAATAAAAACCAAATCCCCAAAAATATCGATAAAAATAAGCACTAATATTTGAATTTTTGAATTTCATTTATACCTTTTTTCCATTTCTTCGTACGACAACTGATCTTGCATATGCTTTTCTAGTTTTTAATATTAACTTTTTATTAGATATATCTAAGGTGATATATGTAAGAACATCTATATTTATATAATTATATATTTGCCAAATTGTGATGTATAAATGGATATATCTGCCAGAAAACAAACAATAATAATTATTTGATTCATTTGTTTTAACCTTCTACTTCAGTTCCATCTGCTCAATGGTACAAAAGTGATGACCAAAAAATGTAACAAATGTCGTATTTGTTCTTTGTTTAATTCAGAACTGTCGCTTTCAGGATTTTGATATTTCCAAGTAATCTATATAACTGGAAATGTTCTGACTTCTAAACTTTTAAGTTGTGAATCTGGAGATCAAGCATTGATCTCCCTCTTATGCAGATGTACGGGTCAATTCAATTCCTTTTCAATATTCTATTGTGGTCATTGGTCATACCCTGCAGAGATCATTTTAATTGAGCGATCAAGCGTTTATCCTGAAATTGAAAAGTTCCCATAATTTGATCAAGTGTTCAAGATCAAGTGTTCAAGATCAAGTGTTCAAAGTGTTCAAGATCAAGTGTTCAAGATCAAGTTTTCTAGATCAAGTGTTCAAGATCAAGTGTTCAAGATCAAGTGTTCAAGATCAAGTTTTCTAGATCAAGTGTTCAAGATCAAGAATTCAAGATCAAGTGTTCAAGATCAAGTGTTCAAGTTCAAGTGTTCAAGATCAAGTGTTCTAGATCAAGTGTTCAAGATCAAGAATTCAAGATCAAGTGTTCAAGATCAAGTGTTCAAGATCAAATGTTCAAGATCAAGTGTTCAAGATCAAGTGTTCAAGATCAAATGTTCAAGATCAAGTGTTTAAGATCAAGTATTCTAGATCAAGTGTTCAATATCAAGTGTTCAAGTTCAAGTGTTCAAGATCCTGTGTTCAAGTTCAAGTGTTCTAGATCAATGATGCTCCACCCAAAAGTTCTGACCTTAGAAATAGTTTAAAATCACAAAATCCTGAAAGAAAGGCTCAATTATTACAGATATTTCTGGTTCTCTGTAATAAAGGCGCTTCCTTCTTTTTAGCATCTAAGTAGGTTTAGAAGAGCCAATTTTTTAAGCCAAGTTTATGGATAAAAGTCGAAATATAGATATATTATGTTATTAAACCAATGATGTATTTATTTAGAGTATGTATGGCCTGTTGGTGGTTGTCATGGTGTATCAATCCTTTTACTATCTCAAAACACAATACACCAGAGAGGTTTGTAATCATTTTAATGTTTGATTTTCGTAAAGAATATTGACAAAATTTTATCTGAAGAAATATTCATGTTTTTCTTTTAAAATAGATTATATTTAGCAATACTGTGTCAAAATTGATTTGAAGATTTATGCTACTGAAAGAAGTTAGAAAACGACATTAGCATCCACATTATTGATGCAAGGTTTTAAGGGTGTTGCACTTAGGGATGGAGGTTTTTTGAAAAACGATGGTTTCGTTTTAAAAATGACGAAGAAAAAACGAAAAACGAAACAATCGTTTTTAAAAACACTCGTTTTTAAAAAAATGTCGATTTAAAAAAAAACCTTTGCTAAGGACTGTCAAAGACGACCCTTCGTTAACAATCGTTTCGATAAAAAAGCATTTAAGAGAACATTAATAAAATTATCTTCCTAATAAAATAGAAAATAACAATCATAAAACTCAGATTTATCAGCGATATTTTTTAAAGTGATTGTTTAAAAACCTATCGTGTTTTGCTTTATAAAAGTTCAAAATGAGTGGTTTGTTTTCAAATACGATAGTTTTTTCCAAAAAAGAAACTATCATTTTTTGAATAAAAATTAACATGAAACGAAAAACGATAATTTTTTTGGTAGTTTATAAAAAGATTAAACTACCCTCTTAAATGGAGGGTCACTTGAAATTACAAGTTAAGCCCTTTTTTTACAGTTCAATTGAGAATTAATTACAATCCCTGTGTATAATATTTTTTATTTTTCTAATACTTAATAGTCATCAAAAATATATTTCTTTAAAAACTAAACTTATATTCATCAAAACTGTGTAAAATTGTTCTCAAGCATTTGCTCGGATAAAAATCTTTGAGGTATTTTCCCTTGTCTGAGCAGGTCTCTCATGTGCACATTTTCTCCTTGAATGCCGCAATCATTTTGATCTTTCTTGAATCGGTTTGGGATGCGTGGGTCGTCTTCTGCAATCTCCCGAGTCTTGGACTGAATTTGTCTGTTGCTGAATAATAAAAGGAAGATTTAAAGAGAGATAAAAAATGTAGCAAAAAAGTAATTATATAAGAAATATATTTGAAGGAAAAGACTTTTAGTTATGAAAATAACAGCTAAAAGTCCTCGAACAAAAAATTACACGGCAGAATTAAGACGACCTTTTGCGGCATTTATTCTTAACCCTAATTTTACAAACAAAATGTTACAATTAATTATCACAAAAAAAACCTAGCCCTACAAAATGCCATGGCATTTTTAAAATGCATTTGTTGTTCTTTCAATAATAATTGAGACATGAAGAATTTTGTTCAAACTTTGAAAAATTTGATTTTATTTAAAGGGAAGCTGTAAAGGAAAAATTAAAAGGGGTAAACTGAAACCTGAGAATCTCAGGACTTAGTTGAGACCAATAAGAGTTTTATCTGATGTCCTTGTCTCGAGAAATTGAAATATAATGGTGTCAAAATATTGAAATGAATTGTTTAAGCATTACTTGTAGAACCTATCTGGTATATTGTTTAAGCATTACCTGTAGAACCTATCTGGTATATTGTTTAGGTTTGAATATTCCCAATTAAAAAAGGACATCTCTCTCTACAGGAACTAAATATTTAATGTACGTTGGACAGATTAGTCACTGGAAAACATAAATCTTAAAGGGACTAAAAACGCAATTTCAATTGTGACCCTGCAAAGTTGGTAATGTCTGATTAACAGTGATACCCTTAAATCGCTTTGGCTGATCAAGTAAGAATAAGAAATACATGTTTTTGTTTTGGAAAACTGTTTATTTTCATTTGAAATTTCTCTGCAACAGTGACTTGTACATTTCTTGCTTTTGAGAAAGACTGGATAAATTATCAGAATTAAACACTTTTCGAGTTTGAAAACACACGATCTTTAGGGAAGGGCAATTGCCGGATAAGTTATACAGAAACTTTTAATATTTTTAGACTTTAAAAGGTTTTATGGCGGTATGAGAAGGTTTCAACATTTTTATACTTTATTCTGTAGAAGTTTGCTTTTATCAAACATGCAAATTTTGTTACCTTAGAAGAAAATATAATGCAAAAATTATCGTTTTTGGGTTTTTAAAACGATAGTTTTTTTGCCTTATATTTTCGCCTATGATAACAAATTTACATGTTTGATAAAGGCAAATTTCTACAGAATACTATTTCAAATCGTTGGACCCTTCTCAGATTGTCGTAAACCTTTTAAGAGTCTAAAAATATTAAAAGTTTCTGTAATTAAAAATCTTTTGGATTTTTGATCAGAGCCCACAATTTAAAAACTTCGGCTCGAGTCGTAATTCATTTAACCCGACTTTAAGACCCAATCTTCGACTCAACTCTGACGACAGCTTGTATCACGTGATTGACAGCTGCAAGATCTTCGGATCTTCGGCCCAACTTAAGGAGTTAGGCCTAATGAAGAAAAACCGACCTTGGTTGGGTTTAGTGGGGAATAAGGCTCAACGTTGAGAATTGTTCTCATAAATGCCTGGAATCCGCCAATTCCTACCATGAAAATCCGCCAAATAAAATATTAAACCGGTTTTTTGAACTCAACTCTGTGAAAAATAAAATGCAGCTTAAATCCGAAAGCTCAAGCCGTAAAAAGGGCCCTACGACAGCTTAGACCTGAGCCGTATTTTCCAATTTTTTTAAATCACGGGCTCGGGAACATAAATTGTTTAATTATTATACCTGAATACTACACAGTATAACTACGTATGATAGTGTTTGTTTCACAGATCTAAATCTACTGATACTGAACATTACCCCCTCCCCCATCTACCTCACCCCAACCCCCTTCCTTCCACCCTTGCTGCACCCTACCTCCCTAGTATAGTCCCGCCCAGTACATTTACTCACCCCCTGACCTCCCCTTAACGGGCCGAGCGCTGCGACCAACAAGATTTATTGTAATCAATCGTTCTTCTAGTTTTTAGATTTTAGAAGAAAAGTCATTTAAAGGTTGCAAAACTTAATAAAAAATCTCTTTGATAAAAACATACATTTCAATAATTTTTTTTAAAGTCTTATAACAATTAAGTTTTTTTACATACAGACTGAAGTGCCCGGCGTTCCCCGTGGAATTTTCTTTGAAAAAAAAATACCATTTTTTAGCCTATGTTACTCCAAGGGTACTCCATGGGTTTCCTTAAAAAATTCAGTCAATTTGGACCAGCCGTCCTGCTGAAATATAAATATAGATTTTATTCTGCAGGATCACCAACTGAAGGGATTAAAATAAGTGATTATGGAATTTATTCAGTTATTTCTTTTTACATTCAGATTCTTGCTTCCATTATACTGTTTATAATATCCCTTAAAACTATGTACAATTTAGAAACCGAAAAATGATTGATATCCAAAAAACTGCCTAACCCAATTTTTAAAAACCGGGTTAGTAAACTGGTTTTCAAAACCATACTATGTCTTAAGTATCGGGCTCAGGCCTGGTCAAAATATAAGTCGCGTACTGTACACAAAATTCAGACTGCTACTCCTACATGGCATGAATTGAATAGCTGTTCTATGATTAAAAAATATTTTCTTCTAGGGAACCCTGTTGTACATAACTGGTTTTGTTATGTACCTTACTGGATTTATCTTGTGGAACATAGGTATTGTTTTACAGTTTTATTTTAAATATAAGGAATTAGAAGACGGCATCAATAGCTAACCAACAATTTTATTATTATTATAATTATATTTTATTAAGCTAAACTTTTTTTGGAAATCTCATGGACTACATATCAAGGATTGCAAAAACGTGAGTCTTTGCCGGGCCATCAAACTCAAATTTTCTAATCCCTATATTTTTGCAAGCAAATGCATGGTTTAAACCTTTGACATCTAAACTTCGACGATATAAACCAACATAATTCATAATATGAAATATCTTAGGTCTATGTCATTGGGTAAAAAGTTATAGGGATTAGAAATTCAGATTTTGTGGTAAAGATTCAATTCCTTTACAAATATGTCTACCTTCAAATATCAGCGTTACGGCATTAAAATGCAATATGTTTAAAAAAAATTCCTAAAACTTGTTTTGTTAAGATAATACATCCTGTGCGAGTGTGATATCTATACGTAATTCTCTTCCTGTGATTCTTCAACCCCTTCTCCAACTGCATGCGTGGTGGCATATTCTTGCAGGTAATGATGTGCCTTCAGCTGATTCGTTTTTCGCTCGTTTTTTGCAGACATTTTTTTCAGGTTCAAAATTAGTTCTTATGTATGAGAAACAATTGGTTTTAGCAAAAAAGTGTTTCATAAGTATGTCAAATTATGACCTGACAGAAGGTACATGCAATAAACGACCCAAAAATGATTTTAAAAAAATCAAAAACGATTCAAAACCGATTAAAAACGATGAAAAAACGATGAAAAAAACGATTTTTTGGAACGTTTTTCCAATTTTTATATATTTAAGATTAAGATATTGCAAAGTTTAATAAAAGTATAACTTTAACATATTATACAGTTCTGAAATCAATTAGAAGTTTTCTTGTTTTTTATTTCTAGAAATTTAACAACAGTTGCAGGTAACAATCAAACTATCAAACTTTTAAAACAGAAACACGGTTTTGATCATATTTTATAAATTGCATTTTTTCTTGGTTTTAAAAGGTGCTCTAGAATTTTTTAAGATGCCATAACACATGGCAAACTTAGTTTTCCTGTAAGTTTGCTTTTTATACATTTCGAAAAAAATATGAAAAAAGTCTATTTTTATGTAAAAAGAGGTCATCATAACGTTGTAATCTCTATCTGTGAGAAGGGGTATAAACAAAGGAATTCATAGTGGGGAAGATATATACTATTATATTAGTTATGTATGAAGTCAAACATTATAGAAACCGAACGTATAGAAACCGCAAGGTATAGCAACAAGGCGTATTTTCCAGGAGGATATTTTTTATATTTTTGAGAAATTAAACTTTTTTTAAAACACTGTAGCTTATCGTTATCTATCTCATTATTTTTATTTTTTTTTCAAATAAAGCTCCTTGCTTATCTAACTTTGTTTGTATTGTATAATTTCTACATGTTGGCTATGGTTGGCAAAATGGATGGACCGAATTGGTTGACATTTTTTAAGGAAACCATGGGTGCCCTGGAGGTAACATTAGCTTTAAAAAAATCGTTTATTTAAAATTAGATTTTTTTCTATATTTTTCGGGCAACGCTGGGCACTTTAGCAAATATTTTATGACATTATGTGTTTAATCCCATCAACTAAAATAAAATTTTAACATAATTTCAGGATATGCTACCTATCTCATGATTCTCTACTCTGAACACCAAAGGTATATTTGTTTTATTATTTAAAACAAATTGTATGCACATTGCACAATTCGCACACCTATTGGACGAAAAATATCTAGATTGAGAGCAATAAGAACAAAAAAGACTTATTAAGGCGACTACTGTTATAGTTCTAAGTGCCCCTTTAGTTAAAACTAAACCATTTACAATTTATTTTTACAAGGGTATCTTTAACCCTAAACAGCTGGGGGGGGGGGGGCGTTCGGCCCCCCCCCCTGTAGTTTTTGTGTCCTAGCACTCTCATTTTTGACACTATCACCGTGAAATTTTGTAACTTTTAATGAATAGCAATTTAAAGGATTTTTTGTTAAACTTTTTTTTACTCTACATTGTTTCTGAAGAAAAACCCCAAAAGTCACTTTAATATAGAAACCATTTAAAAAAAAAATTAAAAGATGAATAAATTTATGGTCATTTTTAAATGCCTTCAGACACTATAACAGTCCATTTGGTGAAAGAATTAAAACTATTTTTACTACAGATTGATCTCATAGCATATTTTTGATTATCTTATAATGAAGTTATACATATTTAAAAGAAGCACACAAATATTTTTCATTTTAGTGGGTTTTTTTGTTCGAATGTAGATCGAAGGACTTTGATAAACTATTAGTTTCTAGTTTACAATTTTTTACAGTGAATCGCAAAGGTGTGTTTGGCCCGGGGGGTGGGGGAGAGGGTTGATATCAAATGCAACAGACCCCTTTTTCGATAGATGAAAATAAACACGATTTAAGTTATTTACAATGATTGTTTTATATATTATTAACTATTAACACTATTCTTCATGAATTCATGATTTGTTTTCAAAATTTTCAAAATAATAATCTACTATTACGTGATTTGTTTTAATTTAGAGGTATATACAGGATTTTTTTTCGGGGGGGATGAAGCTTACGTGTTTTTTCTGACTAAGGGGGGGGCGCCAGATTTCACTGATCCTGGATACGCCCTAAATTAATTAGTTTTCTGTTTTTACCTCCTCTTTTGTACTGCAGGTTGACCTACTTGAAGCGTGAAGTGACCCTATCGCCTAGCTGGTGTGGACTGACAGGTATTTTTGTCATCATCATCTTTATCACTGATAGTTTCATCAGTATTATTAACATTAGTATCTGCACTATTTTTATTATTTTATCAAATTTAATGCTATTTTATTTCAAATATTTTTATATTTTTTTTAAATGATTAAAAGACGGGAGTTGTAATTGTAAGAGAGATTCTAAACAGTAGCCTTTAAACAAATATATTCTGAAGAATTTGTCCACAACACTGCATACTCAGTTTAACTACCTTACATAGCCGGTCTGTCCCTTTAAGTAACCTTTAAATTAGATCTCATTCTCTTTAAGAAACCTTTAAATTAGATCTCATTCTCTTTTAGGAAACTTTAAATTAGATCTCATTCTCTTTAAGGAACCTTTAAATTAGATCTCATTCTCTTTTAGGAACCTTTAAATTATATCTCATTCTCTTTTAGGAACCTTTAAATTATATCTCATTCTCTTTAAGGAACCTTTAAATTAGATCTCATTCACTTTTAGGAACCTTTAAATTAGATCTCATTCTCTTTTAGGAACCTTTAAATTATTTCTTATTCTCTTTTAGGAACCTTTAAATTAGATCTCATTCTCTTTATGTAACCTTTAAATTAGATCTCATTCTCTTTATGTAACCTTTAAATTAGAGATCATTCTCTTTATGTAACCTTTAAATTAGATCTCATTCTCTTTAAGGAACCTTTAAATTAGATCTCATTCTCTTTTAAGAACCTTTAAATTAGATCTCATTCTCTTTTAGAAAACTTTAAATTAGATCTCATTCTCTTTAAGGAACATTTAAATTAGATCTCATTCTCTTTTAGGAAACTTTAAATTAGATCTCATTCTCTTTTAGGAACCTTTAAATTATTTCTTATTCTCTTTCAGGAACCTTTAAATTATATCTCATTCTCTTTTAGGAACCTTTAAATTAGATTTCATTCTCTTTTAGGAACCTTTAAATTAGATCTCATTCTCTTTATGTAACCTTTAAATTAGATCTCATTCTCTTTATGTAACCTTTAAATTAGAGATCATTCTCTTTATGTAACCTTTAAATTAGATCTCATTCTCTTTTAGGAACCTTTAAATTAGATCTCATTCTCTTTTAGGAACCTTTAAATTATATCTCATTCTCTTTTAGGAACCTTTAAATTACAATCTCTATAAATTGTACAAAGATTTAATTTCAAACAAATTCTTGGATTAAATACTAATTTTTGTTCAGTTAAGCACAAGCGCGCTGGTCAGATGGGCTGAACAAAAGAAGAAGCTTCTGAAGACATTAAGAATTACTTCTGATAAGAAAAGAAGAAGCTTCTGATAAAATAAAAAAAGCTTATGGACAATTGCTCAAAATATGCATTCAATTTCTACAACTTTCATACAGTCGTCTCGTATATATCGTTACAATAAAGACGACGTTCTATTTAAATTTAGATTTCCCCGTGGCTATCAAACGGATTGGATACAGATAACAATTGAAATAAAGAGAAGTTGTCACATATTATTTTAATGTTGTAACTTGTAATTTGAAAAAGTTTGTTAGAAACCAAAACCTGAATAAAAAAGTTGCCTTCATTGTATTGATACAGACGCTGACCACTGTAGCACATGCATAGACGTTAAAATATACTAAGTAAGTAAATGTATTATGTATTTCACTGTAGATAACGCATTACCTATACTCACAGTACAGTGTATACTGTACATTATTACATGTCCAGTGTACATTGTACATTAAAACATGTCCAGTGTACACTGGACATTAAAACATGTCCAGTGTACACTGTACATTAACACATGTCCAGTGTACACTGGACATTAAAACATGTAAAGTGTACACTTTACATTAAAACATGTCCAGTGTACACTGTACATTAACACGTGTACAGCTTGTTTGTGTTCGCTAATGAAGAAAATGTTGTGTGATGATATGTAACATCAATAAGCTATGATATATCCGGTGAATAATTTCCCGGTTTCTTTCCATACTCGGTAGTTGATGTACTCATTTAGAGCCCAAGAGATCGGCCCGGTACTTCAAATAAACCAGAATTTAGAGTAATGTACTCCACTCTGTATGTACACTGTACAGTGTACACTGGTTATGTAATAAACCTTTATGTACACTTTTATCATGATTCAACGCATAAAGTAAATATTAAGTTTACAAAAAATAGATAAAAAATGTTGAAATAAAGTTAAATTTTACATGAACAAATCATCTATGCCGAACAGAATGACTTTATGTAAAAAACCACATATCAAACAATTATTAAGTTTTAAACTTTTAATTTGTAAAAAAATATATATTTGAATGTTTTTGCGGTTTTTTTATCATACGAAGACCGATGGCAGAAAACAATCAAAAACAAAATTGTTTATAGTTCATCCCATGGTACATTTTAGTTCATGTTAGCTTAGGTTAGGTTAGAGGCGTACTGGGCCGAATTTTATCTAGCCAGACCGGGCAAGCAGTACGTATCAAATACAGACTATATCAGGCAAAACGGGACTGTACGCCAAATGAATGATCCCCTATAGTGAAATTTATGTTATCCATTGTTGTTACTAAAAACTTATTCTTTATTTTTCTAGATCATAAAACACAATTTTTATTTTAGAATCTTATCTTCAAATATTGTAAACCATTGATATGTAAATATAAAAAATCACAATATTTTAATATTTGAATAAAAAATATTTATCGATTCGTAGATTTTTGTTTATTTTACAGAGAACATAAAAATATAACTACACTACAGCATAAGATTCTTAAAATTGAAAGCTTTAAAATATCTCCAACTTGGTCGTTCAAGAACTTAACAACTGTTCGTGAACAATATTTTTGGAATCATTAATAAACAAAGGATACAGGTAAATGATGTGAACGAACACCAGGAAAAGAATGAACAAGGAAGAATTGTTCAGCGTATTTACCTTTGGTGAACAATAGAGAAGTATAAATTGGAAAATCAAGTTTAAAAACGCCATTTTGCTGCATTCCGATTCGATTTCATTGAATGAACGATTTCATTGGATGAACGATTTCATTGAATGAGCGATTTCATTGAATAAACTTTTTCATTAAATGGGCGATTTCATTGATTTAACGATTTCATTGAATTAACGATTTCATTGAATGAACGATTTCATTGAATTAACGATTTCATTGAATAACGATTTTTTTGAATAAACGAATTCATTGAATGAACGATTTCATTGAATGAAAAAAGTTTCAAACCGCCATTTTGTTGCATTCAGATTCGCTTTCATTGAATGAACGATTTCATTGAATGAACGATTTCATTGTATGAACGATTTCATTGAATGAACGATTTCATTGAATGATCGATTTCATTGAATGAACGATGTCATAGGATGAACTAAATCAATAAGCGGATGATTGTTCAAGAACACGTTCAATGTATGGTTCTCTATGTTCTTTTTATAAAGCAAACCATGGAAATGGAAGACGACCGTTAGACTTAAGTGTTATGATTTCAAAAAGTCCAATTGAACACTAAGTGTAAACAGTCCTTTCTCACATAATAAGCAAGGTTATTTTTAACCTACTGATAAATTGTTTATTTATAACGACATTAAGTACAAAAAGATTTCTGTAATGTCGTCTTCCTAATTCACAGTTTATGGTGTTGTTCCATAAACTTACAAAGACATTTAATATAATTATCCCACCTACTCTGAAAGTTTATAATAAGCACCCTACTGGCAGGCAAGGGCCGCGTATACAGGGTAGGCTAGGGACTAGATCATAAAGGCCTACAAAGATACAGAGAAAAGAGATACCGCGAATTACAAATAATTCATATTTAATTTTTGCTGGAGATTGCCGATTGGTCTTTAAAAATGTTTTGTATAGATCTGAGGAGATTTAAAAAGTTCGAAAGTGTTTATTATTAATATTTGTTTTTCTTACACAATGCCAAATTTGGACCCTGAGAAAAAAAAATACACAAAAAAACGAACCATAAAGATAGATTGTTAATATTCATTTTTACCTTATTCTTTTATGCTAAAATTATGCAAAGCATGATAAAAGCTAACAGGATACCGTTATTCATTCAGTGATTTTATTTGTTTAGTGAATTCGATAGGTCGGTAAAATCGTTTGATTAGTGGCATCGTTCATTCTATTTCAACTTTTGTTCAGCTGAATTGTTCGTTTAGTGAATTCATTCATTCAATAAAATCTTCCGTTAAGTACTATCGTTCTTTTCAAACAATATGAATTATTTGTAATTCGCGGTATCCCTTTTCTCTGTATCTTTGTAGGCCTTTATGATCTAGTCCCTAGCCTACCCTGTATACGCGGCCCTTGCCTGCCAGTATGGTTCTTATTATAAACTTTCAGAGTAGGTGGGATAATTATATTAAATGTCTTTGTAAGCTTATGGAACAACACCATAAACTGTGAATTAGGAAGACGACATTACAGAAATCTTTTTGTACTTAATGTCGTTATAAATAAACAATTTATCAGTAGGTTAAAAATAACCTTGCTTATTATGTGAGAAAGGACTGCTTACACTTAGTGGTCAATTGGACTATTTGAAATCATAACACTTAAGTCTAACGGTCGTCTTCCATTTCCATGGTTTGCTTTATAAAAAGAACATAGAGAACCATACATTGAACGTGTTCTTGAAAAATACTAGTAAACAACATCATTTCAAATGATTGAACTATAGTGTATGGTTTGTAACATGAAAAAATGAAAATTTTCGATGGGCCTCAACCACAGTAAGTTAAGTAAACGTAAAAGACGACATTTGTCTAGTTTTTGCACGCCTCTTCTAAATTGGAGTCAATGAATAATGGATAATTGTAACTATCCCTAACGATACAGCAACCAGATAACCTTAGAGTTAGTTTTATTTCTGCATTTCCGAGGAATCAAAATAAAGAAGACGACATTTTTTTATTTTCCAAAAACGTTTGAAAATCCAGCTCCACGAAATGCATACTCTCACATTTAACACTTATTAATGTTTGGAAGTAAATAATGCTCATTTATTAAAAGTATTTATCTAACAAAAATATACAGAACCAAAAAAGTGTGATTTATGATGTTGTCTCCTTCAAAACTTTTTTTTCGTAAAAATTCTCATATATTGCATTTGCCCGTTTGTTTTAGAAATGTTTACATTGTTTTTTGTTCCTTACATGGCCCTAAAAAAATCCACAAAAACTTTTTTTAAAACAAAATTAAAAGAGAAGAAAAAAGGTAAACAGATTATTTCAAACAAATCCTAAAATTTCATGACAATAATTTAGTTTGACCAATTCAAAGACATTTCATAAAAATCTCGAAAACTTTACTGAAATTATCCCTTGCCATTTGAATTTTAGTCGGCCACAAAATATCAGACAGTTAAAAATTACAAATAAATTAAAATTTAAAATTTAAAATAACATTTTCGAAAAACTAGACAGCCAATCTCACATCTTAGAATACATAGCGCATAAAATGTCAATAAAATCAAAACAAATCAAATCAAATCAAATCATATATAAAAAATTAAAAAATATATAAAAAATAAAATTAAAATTAAAATTACTGCAGCAGGGGGCTCAGATAGCTTAAAGCTGTGTTCACAGAGCCCCTCTGTCGTCTTGAAATTTATTTAAAAATTGTATGCCAACTGTGATGCTTCCTCATTGGTCTGCACAAAAAGAATGCGGTTGAGATGTTTTCAGCTTAAAAGAGTAGAATACGATTTTTGAAAATATACCCACGGGGTGATGGAGAGTTTTCTTGAATTTTGTTTAAATCTAAAAATTACATTTTAGAGAGTTTGTGAATTCACATTTTCCCAATCAAGATTTTAAAATGTAGCATTTCAATAAAAATGTATTTCTCTTTTTAATTCGACAAAAAAATCCGATAAAACTATGATCAAATTATTTAATTATCTTGACTGAAGGATTTGCCAATTTAGTACTAGGTCCCATCTCAATTGCCTTTTTTTTCTCAAAAAAAGTAATCTATGTATATGTTTTATTTGCTTGTTTAAGTGTCTCTTTGTTTGTTTGTTTGTTTCCAATAAACTTCAAAACGGCTTAACCGATCTGGCAAAATTTGTTGTGGAACCTCGCATGATCCTATGGAAGGTTTTTGAATGATCAAATTTTAAAAATTAACCTCCTACACAAATTTGTAATTTTCATTAAATTTTAAAAATCCAAGAAATTTTTTTATTTAAATCTTTGATAAAAGATGGGCGGGAAGCCTTGAATTCCTGATTTGCATCATGTATCCAATAAAGCTGAGAAAATTTTATTTTTTAATTAGAAAAAAATATATCCACGAAAATTTAATTTACATTAAAAAACATGATAATAATGTTGTTAAACCAATTAAAAAAAATAATATAATTTTTTAACAAGAAGCTTATTCTACAAAATATTTTTCATACCTTAATAATTACAACTAAGTCTCTGAACATTGACGTTAATTTAGTTTCAGAGAATTAACAAAAAAAAATAACATTATGGATGCTTTAAAGGGAGTAACCGGCAATGTTTGGTAGTTGAACTGAAAATGTAGTTCTGTGGAGAAAGTTTTTAGGAATCATTTGAGACTAATAATACTTTTTAATGATGAATAATTATGCTGAGTTTGAGCGCAAAATCGAGAAACAAAATCATCCTTTTGGTTGTATACATTTTGAGAATCGTTTTTTCAAATTATTAAATAACGACGACAAAAACATATTTCTCGATTAATGTTTTCTCAATGAATCAATGTTAGAATCAATTATTTCTTTTTCATTATTGTATTGAACTTATTATTCTTTATAAATTTGTTTGCAGATTACTTCAAATTCTTCAAATGTCGTCTTTTCAATAATAATTCCAGGAAATCCACAGAAAATGTTTGTTTACAATGAGATACTACAGAAATCAATAACTGGGTATGATTACTTATTTCCGATTATAATAGTTAATTTTTAATTTCTCAACATGTTCCCTAAACAACTGATTAGTTTACTGTAAAATTTTTCGTCGTCAATATTAAATATATTTTTTAAAACCGATTCTCAAAATTATCCCTCAAAAATAAACAATCTTTTTAAGATCTAAATATTATTATATTAACATTTAAAGATTACATTGGGTTTAAATTAGTGTAGATTAAAATAGCATTACAAGTTTAAGATAAGATTATGATTATACATATCATTTTAAATTCAAAAATATTATTTTTTTTATTTTTTCGAATTTTAAAATGAACAATCTATGAGAATCTAAAGATTTAATTTGCGCTCTTGCTGAACAAATATGCACCGTAAAAACGTTTTAGGTCTCAAATGATTCTTAAATAATGTCTCCGCAATTCTTCATTCTCAGTTTAACTAACATACATTTCCTCTAATAGGCTCAAAAAAGTCATTTGAAAAATTCTTCCAGGTTTGCAGACTTGCAATGAAATTTTTTTCTATAATTTGTGTTCAAAGAAAAAATCCCTGGAATCCATAACAAACTCATTTTAGAACATGAAACATCAAATTTATACAATTTGAACCTTCGTTTTGTGCTATAAAGGAACTGAGTTTTTGTAAAAAAAAACTCTGATTTTCGAGTTCCTTAATCCTATTTATTAAAACTGTCTATTTTTCTGTATTTTTTTTTGGTATAAAAACATCAAAGCAGCTAAACTGGAGCACGATCATTTGCTATCAACTCACTTGCTATCAGCCTCACTTGCTATCAACTCACTTGCTATCCCCTCACTTGCTATCAAACTCATTTGCTATCAACTCAGTTGCTATCACATTCATTTGCTATCAAGCCTCATTTGCTATCCGGCCTCAACTGCTATCGACACACTTGCTATCAGGCCAATTTGCTATCAATCCTCAGTTGCAATCAACAATTTTGCTATCAATCATCATTTGCTATCAAATTTTCGCCTTGCTCTCAATCATTACTTGAAACAGTTTTTTCTAAAAATCCGCAAAAAAATGGAAAAATTTCTCAAAATTTGGAATTCTTCAATCTCTGGCAAACTTTGCGTAGGCATTGAGTCGGCTCGTTTTGTTGCCTCCAGTAAAGGTACCAACAGCAGACTTAAAGAAAATGGTTGAATCATATGATAACATGCCTTTGGGTATTTATATGAACAACATTGTTCGTTTTTTGAAAGATTATTGAGTGAAAATTTAAATTGAATATAATATATTGTATTATTAATGTACTCCCTTTTTCATTTTATAAATTAATATTATTTGAACAACCATAGATAATTACTGAGCCCGCGATTTAAAAGCTTCGGCTCGAGTCGTAATTCCTTAAACCCGACTTTAAGACCCAATCTTAGACCCAACTCTAACGACAGCTTGTATCACGTGATTGACAGCTGCAAGATCTTCGGCTCGACTTAAGGAGTTAGGCCTAATGAAAATAAACCGACCTTGATTGGTTTTAGTGAAGAATAAGACTCAATGTTGCGCCTTGTTCTAATAAAAACTGGGAATGCGCCAATTTCTACCATGAAAACCTGCCGAATATAATATCAAACCGGTTTTTTAAATTCAACTCTGTGGAAAATTAGATGCAGCTTTAATCCGAAAGCTCAAGCCGTAAATAAGGTCCAACGACAGCTTAGACCCGAGCCGTATTTCCCCGAATTTTTTAAATCGCGGGCTCTCGTAATATAAACTAAGAACTGGTTTTATAGCAACTTATTTAGAAACACAACAACTATTTTGATAGCAACGTATTTGGATAGTAACTAGTTTTGGATAGCAGATGAGCATTGATAGCAGTTGAGACTGGAGAGCAAACGTTTTAATAGCAAGTGAGGCCTGATAGCAAATTGACCTGATAGCAAGTGTGGCGAGAGCAAGTGAGGCCTGAGTGCAAGTGAGGCTGAGAGCAAGTGAAACAGATAGCAAGTGAAACAGATAGCAAGTGAATTGATAGCAAGTGAGTTGATAGCAAGTGAGGGGATAACAAGTGAGGCTGATAGCAAGTGAGTAGATAGCAAGTGAGTTGATAGCAAGTGAGTTGATAGCAAGTGAGTTGATAGCAAGTGAGTTGATAGCAAGTGAGTTGATAGCAAGTGAGGCTGATAGCAAGTGAGGGGATAGCAAGTGAGGCTAATAGCAAATGATCGTGCTCCTTATAGACGTAAACTCTGGATATTAAAGGGATTATAGATGTAAACTCTGGATATTAAAGGGATTATAGACGTAAACTCTGGATATTAAAGGGATTACAGACGTAAACTCTGGATATTAAAGGGAAAGTGTTATGTCTGTTTCACAGCGGATAGGGGTATGTCTGATTCACAGCGGATAGTGGTATGTCTGTTTCACAAAGGATAGTGGTATGTCTGATTCACAACGGATAGTGGTATGTCTGATTCACAGTTGATAGTGGTATGACTGATTCACAACGGATAGTGGTATGTCTGATTCACAACGGATAGTGGTATGTCTGATTTACAACGGATAATGGTATGTCTGTTTCACAGCGGATAGTGGTATGTCTGTTTCACACTGGATAGTGGTATGTCTGATTCACAGCGGATAGTGGTATGTTTGATTCACAAAAGATAGTGGTATGTCTGATTCAAAAAGGATAGTGGTATGTCTGTTTCACAAAGGATAGTGGTATGTCTGATTCACACCGGATAATGGTATGTCTGTTTCACACCGGATAGTGGTATGTCTGATTCACAGCGGATAGTGGTATGTCTGATTCACACAGGATAGTGGTATGTCTGATTCACAACGGACAGTGGTATGTTTGATCAAGGGTTAAGGCAATACCCTAATTTTTGTAGCTAAAGCAAAGGAACTCAGTTTTTGCCACGAACTTTGAACCTTTAAATCCCAATATCTCTGCAACACAATGTCGTAGATCTTTGATATTTCAGACAATGAAATTTGTGAGATCAAATATATCAAAGGTTAACACCATAAGTTTGCAAAAATATAGGGATTTGTGGCAAAAACTCAATTTCCTCTTTTATTTTTCCCCTAAATTTTGGTCTCAGTTTTATATTGCCCCCTATTTTCCCCACCTGATATTTGTAATTGAGTATCCGCATTGAGTTTGTATCCACAACATTTTGAGGGCTCAATCTCACCAGGCCAGACCGAATCTTTATGTTAACCTGAATTCAAACGATTAGAAATAGCCCCTAACATGTTGATCGTAAAATAGATTTTACAGATAGAATTTCAAAATTACGACCTTTTTGTTCAAAATCACGAACATTTTGTTCAATATTAAAGACATTTTGTACAAAATTACGAACATTTTGTTCAAAATTACGAACATTTTGTTCGATATTACGAACATTTTGTTTGATATTACGAGCATTTGAATAATTAGTGTACAATTTAGATTCGAGCGATGGGTCATTCATTGATATATAGATATATATTAGATATATATTTTACAAAATATTTTAATAAATAACATTTACAGGAACACAATTTTTACATTTAATGTACATTTGACCTATCTTACTCACCTATACTTTGTTTGTAGCCCTAGACATGTACATTTGACCTGACTTACTCACCTATACTTTGTTTGTAACCCTAGAAATGTACATTTGACCTGACTTACTAACCTATACTTTGTTTGTAACCCTGGACATGTACATTTGACCTGACTTACTCACCTATACTTTGTTTGTAACCCTAGACATGTACATTTGACCTGACTTACTCACCTATACTTTGTTTGTAACCCTAGACATGTACATTTGACCTGACTTACTTACCCATACTTTGTTTGTTTGTAGCCCTAGACATGTACATTTTTCCAAACAGTAAACTAGGCATATATGCTCTAAACTTTTTTTTGAAGATTTTAGGAAAGGAATCCATTCTTTTCCGCAAACTCATATTTTCTAATACTGATATCTTTGCAACTTAATGGCGTAGACCTTAGATATTTCATAGTAGGAATTCTGTTTGATCAACTAATTTAAATTTGAAATAGATGCATCTGGATGCAAAGATATAGGGATTAGAAAAATGTGAGTTTGAGGAAAAAACTCATCGATTTTTGTATGAAAGCTTGCATCAACCTTGTTATCAAATTAGCATAAAAACTAAATAACTCACCAGAAGCGGATTTGGAGTCCACTTTTTTAACGATTGTAACCAGACTCTAAATATATATGATTACAATAAAACAAGAATGCCGGAGCAATAATTTATGTAAATTCTGTAATTATTTTTTATTATTTATTTTTAAACATTTGAGTTTGTGGCAACTCTTTAGATGATGTCCATAGTGTTGACCTCTGTAGATATTTATATTCTTTTATGCAAGTTCCAATTATGATTTTAAAAAAGTTTTTTTTAAGCTGATTATGTAAGCACATTTATTTTTCATTATTTTTTACCTAATCTGATTCCGAACATTTTCTGCAAGCTGAGGATTCTTTTCTTTTTGTTGTAAATTGCACGAGTCAGCAAATGTATTGAGGTCAGAACCACGTCTTGAGCTTAAATACAATGGTTGTACTTACAGGAAATGGTTTATAATATTAAAGATTTTTTAGAAAGGAGGTTATACAGAGGAGGAGGTATTACAGAAGAAATTAAATAAAGTAAAGAAGTAAAAAAACTTGTTTTTTTTGGTTTGTTTGTGGATTGTGTACAATAATGCATATCAAAGTTTATAAAAATAATCAAACAGACAAAACATTTGATACACTTTTTTCACACTCGCCTCTCATAATTGTACTGTAACGATGAAAATTTGTTTTGAAAATATGATAATTAATCAAATTGTTTTTGTATAAATGATTTTGTTTATATTCTCCCCACAAACTGCAGTACACCTTTTTGTAAACAAGGATACCCTGGGATTCCATGTTTTCTGGGCGTTTCTCAAATTTTAAATTTTGTTGCTCACCTTGATTTTGATTCACTACACAGAGAATCCTGAAAAATAATAATAATGATAATTTTAATAATTATGATAATAATAAAAATAATTGTTTGCTTGTATAAAAAAAACGTAAAACGGTTGAACGGGTCAAACCCAAAATTGTTAAGACAACTGACATGAAACCAGGGAATGTATCTTGGTCTAGTCGAAAATGGAACTGTTGCCCAGAAAGTTTGTCGGAATGGATTATTTTTAAAAATGCCCCAATTAAAAAGAAAAATCTGGAAAAATCTAAGATCGATTTAAAATCTGAGTTCCAAACTAAAACGGGTAAATATTTTAATGATACAATAATAACAATGATGATGATAATAATGAAAATGAAAATGATAATAATCTGATTGACGAACATGTCGAGGATCAGCTCTAGAAGTTACAGGCTTCATGTAGAATGGAACCTATATAAAGACATGAAAATGAAAATGATAATAATAAAAACAATGATAATCAATTTGATTACCTTAAAGAATTTTTTAGATTTGGTTTGATCCTCCATCAAAATATTGACAGCTTTTTCAGATTTTAGAAAAGTTTTCTTGTTTTCTGAAAATTAAATTCGAATACTGTTTACTCAAATCTTCTATATTTATAAATCTATAATAAATGTGACTCACTTTTAGGATGTGCTGAAGTTTCTAGATTGGCCTTTGATGATTTTATAAGCTGAGGTTCGCACTGAATTTTGCAAGGATTTGCACAGGAGGACGGTAAATGCTTGAGGTGTTGATCATGCAATCCACTTGATAGATCTGAGTATTTGCAATTAGGTATTATAGCTTTATACACTACTAGAGTGTATAAAGGACTACTGGAGTGTATAAAGGACTACTAGAGTGAATAAAGGACTACTAGAGCGTATAAAGGACTACTAGAGTGTAGAGTGTAGACCATATGCTGATTGGCATGTCTGAATCACAACGTTACCTTTTGAACCTTTTTTTCTGATCAATGATAAAGAGATATTGACTTATTTTTACTTAAAAAATTAGCGTGGCAACGACTTGGGCCTAGGTTTCACTTCAGAAATTAAGTTGCTTATACTTTTTTGAAGCCCTATGCATCTACATTTTAAAACTACAACGCACTTGTTTCTAGCTAAAGTTTAAATACTGCTAGATTTTTGCGTGAGAGCGTGCACATCTTGGCTCACAGTGATGGTTGCAAAAATATTTATTATTTAAATCTCACTTTTTTAGAAAAAAAGATGGATATTTTTTATTGCACTGCTCAAACTTGATTAAGTTTTTATGGATAGAAATAAACTGCCTGACTGCCCGTCAATTAATCTATTTTAACTTCACAGCATTGAATAATTGATGCAAAAAAGGGGCAGAGAAATGGTAAAGAAGGGGATGGGGGGGGGGGTAAACTTTTGATCTCCCCTGATAACACCTGTGTAAATATTTTTTAACGTGGAATAAAAAAGCCGGGAGTTCACAGCCCCCCCTTTCCTTCTTTAGATGTTAGGTATATCCCAAAGAATATTTACCAAACGCCTATTTCCCACCCAAGGATGTTTTCCCAAGTGCCAACTTTCCAACCGTGTAGTTTCTAAGCAGAAACTTTCCAAATCTGTCCTAGCCACAGCAGTTGGTCCCCAGAAGCTTTTTTAGTCACAGCGCTCAGCCCCTAGCTCATCATAGACGTGGCGCTCTGCCCCACATTCCAGCCTGCGGCGCCTCAGAGGGCCTAAATTAACCTTTGGGAAGTTTCCGCTTGGTAAATCGCACATTTGGGAAGTTGCCACTTGGAAAGTCGCCCTTGGGAAAATACCTTTGGAAAAATACCTAACATCCTCCTTAATATGCCCCTGTAATTATATAATAAATCTATTACATGATGCAAACCTGTCAAAAAATATTTGCAGTCCTCATTCCAAATACATCACATTGTAAAATATTATCATACTTCTGCATCCAACCCCCGTACATCTTCTCCCGGAAATATAGTGAACAATTTTTTATTTTCTACGTGGAAATTTAGTTTCTTAAAATAAATGATTTTGACAGAATTAAGCTGGAAAATCTCAAAGTGTAATCTTCGCAGTGTCACGAGATTTTCCTGCCATATTAATATTTTATTAAATTTAATTTACTCAGGCCCGACCACAGGAAATTTAATCTGTTCAAACGCCTGATCAGAGGAAATTTAACCTACTGACGCCTCTTCAAAAAACAATTTAATCTAGTCACACGTCTGACCAGAGGTTTATTCTAGTTTACTCACGCCTGACCAGAGGAAATTTAATTTAGTCACACACGTCTGATCAAAGGGAATTTAATCTAGTCACACGTCTGATTAAAGGGAATTTAATCTAGTCACACGTCCGATCAGAGGAAATTTAATCAAGTCACACGCCTGACCAGAGGAAATTTAATCAAGTCACACGTCTGATTAAAGGGAATTTAATCTAGTCACACGTCTGATTAAAGGGAATTTAATCTAGTCACACGTCCGATCAGAGGAAATTTAATCAAGTCACACGCCTGACCAGAGGAAATTTAATCAAGTCACACGCCTGACCAGAGGAAATTTAATCTAGTCTCACGTCTGATCAAAGGAAATTTAATCTAGTCTCACGTCTGATAAGAGGAAATTTAATCTAGTCTCACGTCTGATCAAAGGAAATTTAATCTAGTCTCACGTCTGATCAGAGGAAATTTAATCTAATCCCAAATTTAATTTCAAACCCTGTCTTAATTGTCAAATGCATATTTTGGGAAAGTAAATTTTTAATATTTACATAATTGAGTTTAATTTGTAGCTTTGTTTCAATATTTTCTTATTTTTTGTTTGGACATTTTAGTAATTGCATCTGTTTAGTTCTTTATTAATATTTTACCTTTAGCCAATATTTGTGATGTTTCTAGATTTTCTTTTAGTTTCATCTTCTCTTTTTCATCCAATATTCGCTTCTTTTCTTCTTGTTCTTTTATTTCTATTTTATTTTCTTCTTCCTTCCTTTGACTATTTCTTCTTTCTTCTTTTTCTTTATCTTGCAAGTTTCTTATTTTTTCCTTGTCTACCTTCAGCTTCAATATTTCTGACTCTTCCTGATTTCTCTTTTCTTCATTCCTCCAGTCTTCATTCTTTTCTATTTTGAAGGGACTGTAGAATTAATTTCAAGGGAATCTCCATTTATACCGTGGGATTACACGCTACCCTAAAGGATCCATAAGACTGAAATGGAAGAAACTGTAAGAATTAAACACTTTGCTTGTTAGAAAAACAACAATATCTTCAACACTACAGATTAGAGAATGTTATAAAGGTTACCGCTATGATTCAGGTAATCCCATCGTTTTAAATTGGAGATCACTTGAAATATTTCAATAACAGTCCCTTTAAGTTTTCTTTTTTCTAAATCTTCTTGATTTTGTTTTGTTTTCAATTCAAGCTGTTGCTGATGAGCTCTAAATATATTTATTGATGATAATGATAATGATAATGATACAGATAATGACAATGATAATGATAATGATAAAGATAATGATAATGATAATGATAATGATAATGATAATGATAATGATAATGATAATGATAATGATAATGATAATGATAATGATATTGACTATAATGTCATAGAAAATATTTTCTTTTAAACTTTTAACTGAATATTTAAATTGATGGGATGAAACTGAAAAATCCTCAAATGCGTAATTCAATAAAAATATTAAACATTTTTTAAATTTAAGCTTATTAAAAACTGATTATACCTCTGGAATGCAGTTTCAATATCAATTAGTTGTCTACGCATCTAGCAGACCCATCAAATATCTTTCATATGTTTATACTAAATATTAAAATAATAAGACACACTACCCGAAATTATACAGAGGATAAGAGAGACCAATTGCCAAAATACAAGATGTAAATTCAGCATTTTCACCAGACATTAAAGGATTCGCAACAGTATCCATGTTTTTGTTTCTGAGAACAGTTTATTTTCATTTATGGTTTCTTTCAAAATTGACTTGGGCATATTTGTTGCTTCAGAAACTGTAAAGAAATTAGAAAAATGAAATGCATGAGTATGGTCGTTTATAACAAAAAGTTTTAATTAAGATTTAGAAAAAATATGCTTTTTCTTTATGTAACAAAACGATATTAAGGAACTGTAGATGTATTTTCAAGTGACACTTCATTTCCGATTCACATCCTTTAATCCTCTAATCGAGAAACATAAAGAAAGGTGTCAGTGTTTTCTTGTTTATAAAGCATGCTAATTCAAGGATCTCCAGGTGTCAGTGTTTTCTTGTTTATAAAGTATATTCAAGGATCTCCAGGTGTCAGTGTTTTCTTGTTTATAAAGTGTAATTCAAGGATCTCCAGGTGTCAGTGTTTTCTTGTTTATAAAGTGCTAATTCAAGGATCTCCAGGTGTCTGTGTTTTCTTGTTTATAAAGTGCTAATTCAAGGATCTCCAGGTGTCTGTGTTTTCTTGTTTATAAAATGCTAATTCAAGGATCTCCAGGTGTCAGTGTTTTCTTGTTTATAAAGTGCAACTATATATAGGTTTCCAGCAGAATAAATTCGCAAATCTCTATTAAAGAGAACCCACAACTGAAAAAATCTGTTTTTAAAGTTATTAACATTGATTTATAACTCATACTTGATACTTTAAAGGGCAATGTCGTGAATCATCGGGCATTGAAATCTTTACCTTGAGGGTCACATAAAATTACGCTTATACAGTCCCTTTAAACATGTATTTTATATTATAACTTTTCTGGGCTTTATCAATAGAGTCAACTTTTTTAATTTTAAAATATATTAATTTTCAGATATTTGATTCCTGGGATCTTTTTAGATCCCGTTCTAGTCTCCAGGTAGCGAGGTCATGCATTGTAGCTGCAGGCAGGTCAACTATAACCTGGAAAGTTGATTTTCGTTCTTTATCTCCTTTTTTTTTGCATTGATACAGATCCTACACTTTAGTAGTTTGTTATGTTCCATAAATTGAGAGGTTTGCTTATTTGTTGGTATAATCTACGAAAATCATCGAGAAAATGCGCGAGATTCACAATAAATCCGGGGTTTTACTGATCAGTCTCCGATAATATTGAGTAATCAGGGTATCAAAAACAACTATGAGGATAGGACAGGTTTAGCTGTAATAATAAATTTGTAATTTAGAAGTTTAAATTTAATTTTGAATTGGTGAAGATTCCCTTTAATAGTATTCCCTGATGTTAGCTAGTGCTGTAAATATAACTCCTGAGAAACTGAAAATATTCAATGTTTACCTTTCTACAGGAGGTTGTTTAAAGAGTGAGAAAGTCACTACCCTTTCCTCTCTCCTTGCATTACTTGCACATATTTTACTTGTGTCTCTCATCTCGTGTTTGTCTTCATTTGCTATCAGACAAAAAATTTAGTGTAAAGCTTATCACCCCTTCTAATTTTCCTGTTCAATGTTTTCTTTATCTTTTGTTTATCTTGTTTATACACTGTAAGGTCTTTCCAAATAGTTCATTTGAGAGTTGTGGAGCAGGTAGGAGAGAGATAAGGAGGTTTGTAGGAGGAAGGGTGTAAGGGGATTACTTCCTGTATTCCATCTTTACTATACTCTTTCCAAGTTAAGGGGCATTAAAGAAACTGATAACTGCACCCCTTATGCAAAATGGGAAGTTGTGAGCCCTGAAGCTCTCTTGAGAGGAATCTTTCACAGCTGTCCAGTTCTCACAGCTGGTTGAGTAAAAAACCAGTATCATTGTGCATGGCTTGTATACCCATCACGGTATACCAAGGTAAAGATAAAGTTTTGTTTTATTCAATGTACATTCCTTGCTCTCTTATAGGATACAAGATGCTAAACACAGTGCTCCTCCAGGCTGCAATTCTGGGACAGCATAAGATATGTCTGCTCTCTTCAGAGGAAGTCAGGCAACTGGTGAAAAGAAATTGATTACTCGCAACAATTGTAATTAACAATCAGGGAGACGACACACCCCTTATATTTTTGTTATTTTCATTATTGTATGCATTTGAAAATAGAAAATAAAAATCATGAAAATAAGCTTCAAAGACCCCAAAAAAACTTTTTGAGTTGTCAGATATGGTAGTTGGGGCTTCGAGTCTAGTAATGCAGAGAATTTTTTTGGATTTATTTGAGACCCATAAGACGTTTTAAGGGTGTATAATTGACATTGTTTAGCATGAGAGAAACTTTTATCTTTGAAATCCTCCTGTATTGTGGTATTGTATTGGTCGCAAATGTATCCTGAACAAATTCTCTAAAATACTGCACTTTCAGCTCAACTACCATGTCTGGCCAGTCACTCCCTTTAAATTAGGAGAATTAAGGCCTGGATCGGACATTTTTGCACTAATCTTTTTCACTCGGGGAACACGTTTTTTTTCCCTCTAAATTCTTAAACCTTAGTATTGGCGTTGACGTTCTTAAAGTAGCTTTCCCCTCTCTTATTCCAAACCTATAACAATTTAAAAAAATAGATTCTTTTTAAGTATTTTATTAAGTTTTATTGGTGTGCAATTGAAGAGTATTTTAAAGGGAACCCTTCTAGATTTTAGGAGGGGTTACAAATTACAACGTGCATTATATGAAATGTGCATGTTAGCAACTTTTGATAAAAAGATGACTAAGATGCTAAGAAAAAATCTTGTGATTGGCAACAAAGGAATTGAGTCTTTCCTTTGATATTTTAAACATATATTATTTGATTAAACATATTTTGAAACATCTAGATTTAGTTATTAGAAAATCAGAGTTTGCGACAAAGGTTCAATTCGTTTTCGTTGTGAACGGTTAGTCTCGTACAAAATTAGTATATAAACAATCAATTTTATTGCAATAGTAACTTTGTTTGTGTTGTATTACTTTTTTCAAAATGCTTAATATATTTTCAGAAGAAATCTAATGTTTTTTTTATGTTATCATCACTTGTCATGTTTCAAATTTCATTAATATTCTCATCATTTATATTTACTTGAACTCTCCGCACAGCTGATCCCCTGAACAGAAGAGAACTGAACCATAACCATGCGGTATCCCATACTCATTTACATCACCCTGGATATTAAAGGGATTATAGACGTATACTCAGGATATTAAATGGATTATAGACGTAAACTTTGGATATTAAAGGGATTATAGACGTAAACTGTGGATATTAATGGGATTATAGACGTAAACTCTGGATATTAAAGGGATTATAGACGTATACTCAGGATATTAAATGGATTATAGACGTGAACTTTGGATATTAAAGGGGTTATAGACGTAAAATCTGGATATTTGTAAACTCTGGATATTTAAGGGACTATAATGCAAACTCTGGATATTAAAGGGATTATAGACGTAAACTCTGGATATTAAAGGGATTATAGACGTAAACTCTGGATATTAAAGGGATTATAAACGAAACACGATCATTTGCTATCAACTCACTTGCTATCAACTCACTTGCTGTTAGCCTCACTTGCTATCCCCTCACTTGCTATCAACTCACTTGCTATCAAACTCATTTGCTATCAACTCAGTTGCAATCAACAATTTTGCTATCAATCATCATTTGCTATAAAATTTTCGACTTGCTCTCAATCATTACTTTAACCCTTTTTTTTCTTTTAAAAATCCGCAAAAAAAATTGAAGAATTTCTCTAAATTTGGAATTCTCCAGTCTCTGGCAAACTTTGCGTGGGCATGGAGTCGGCTCGTTTTGTTGCCTCCAGTACTAAGAACTGGTTTTAATAGCAACTTATTTAGAAACACAACTATTATTTCGATAGTAACGTATTTGGATAGTAACTAGTTTTGGATAGCAGATGAGCATTGATAGCAGTTGAGACTGGAGAGCAAACGTTTTGATTGCAAGTGAGGCCTGATAGCAAATTGACCTGATAGCAAGTGTGNCCATTATTCATCCATTCTATCTAAACTCATTTCCATTATTCATCCATTCTATCTAAACTCATTTCCATTATTCATCCATTCTATCTAAACTCATTTCCATTATTCATCCATTCTATCTAAACTCATTTCCATTATTCATCCATTCTATCTAAACTCATTTCCATTATTCATCCATTCTATCTAAACTCATTTCCATTATTCATCCATTCTATCTAAACTCATTTCCATTATTCATCCATTCTATCTAAACTCATTTCCATTATTCATCCATTCTATCTAAACTCATTTCCATTATTCATCCATTCTATCTAAACTCATTTCCATTATTCATCCATTCTATCTAAACTCATTTCCATTATTCATCCATTCTATCTAAACTCATTTCCATTATTCATCCATTCTATCTAAACTCATTTCCATTATTCATCCATTCTATCTAAACTCATTTCCATTATTCATCCATTCTATCTAAACTCATTTCCATTATTCATCCATTCTATCTAAACTCATTTCCATTATTCATCCATTCTATCTAAACTCATTTCCATTATTCATCCATTCTATCTAAACTCATTTCCATTATTCATCCATTCTATCTAAACTCATTTCCATTATTCATCCATTCTATCTAAACTCATTTCCATTATTCATCCATTCTATCTAAACTCATTTCCATTATTCATCCATTCTATCTAAACTCATTTCCATTATTCATCCATTCTATCTAAACTCATTTCCATTATTCATCCATTCTATCTAAACTCATTTCCATTATTCATCCATTCTATCTAAACTCATTTCCATTATTCATCCATTCTATCTAAACTCATTTCCATTTGTTATCCATTCAATTTTGATTTTTATATATTATTCATGCATCCTATCTTTACTTATTTTCACTATTCATCCATTCAATCTACATAAACATTTACATTATTCATTCATTTATTCTAAACTATTCTTCGTTTTTCATTCATCCCATCTAAACTTACTTATTTCAATTGTTCATTCATTTTATCTAAATTGATTTCTATTATTCATCCATTCTTTCTAAGCTCATTTCCATTATTCATTTATTCTATCTTAAGTCATTTCCATTATTCATCCAATAAATCTAAACTCATTTCCATTATTCATCCAATCAATCTAATTTCATTTTCATTATTTTTCCATTCTATCTAAACTTATTTTCATTATTTATCCATTAGATCTTTCTAAACTTATTTCCATTTTTTATCCATTCAGAATAAATCCATTTCCATTATTCATTCTAAATTCATATGAATCATTCATTCATTTATTTTATAAAGATTTATTCATTTTATTCTATTCATTCACCCTATCAATTTAAACTCATTAAATGTTATTGTTAATTTTTTATTCAGCACTTGTTAATTTTCATATTCATTTTTTTAATTTATACTTTATTCAATCTTAATTGAATTTTTTTAGTACGCATAAATCAAATATTTAAAATTCAACTATTTACATTATTGAAAAATCCAATTAACTTATTTATGAATTTAATTTCAATTCATAAAGTAACTGAATGGAGTGATCATGATATTTATTTTATATTCTTTGTATTTCGAAAGTTTTATTAGTCGTTAAACACTACTTTCTTGAATTTGATATCTATATATACTCTTGTAAATTACATAGAAGGCATTATCTGAACTATTATTAATTAGTCAAAACTATTGTACAGGGAAGTTCAGAGACTTTATATTATAGGGAGTGTTTGAGGACAAACTAACGTTATATTAAATTATGATTCGTTTGAAATCCTTTTCCTTTTCTGTTTTTCTGCGAAAATATTTTTTCCTCAGACCGACAAAAAATGCAATAGAAACTGGAATTTTGGAAACATATTTAAAAAAAAACATCGATTCACTTTAATTTAATATTTTGAAATATCAAAGGTCCTAACTTGAAATATCAAAGGTCCTAACTTGAAATATAAAAGATCCTAACTTGAAATATAAAAGATCCTAACTTGAAATATCAAAGGCCCTAACTGGAAATATCAAAGGTCCTAACTGGAAATATCAAAGGTCCTAACTTGAAATATAAAAGATCCTAACTTGAAATATCAAAGGCCCTAACTTGAAATATCAAAGGTCCTCACTTGAAATATCATAGGCCCTAACTGGAAATATCAAAGGTCCTCACTGGAAATATCAAAGGTCCTAACTTGAAATATAAAAGATCCTAACTTGAAATATCAAAGGCCCTAACTTGAAATATCAAAGGTCCTAACTTGAAATATCAAAGGTCCTCACTTGAAATATCATAGGCCCTAACTGTAAATATCAATGAAAGTGAGAGGGATTTGTGAAAAAGAGGGAAAATGTGGTAAACATCTTTGCTTGCTTATTCAATTATTCATTTGATTTTCTTCTTTCCTCCCCTTCTTAACTTTGCTCCTTTGTATCAAATTAACTTTAAACTAGTTTTCTAGGAAAATGAAGATGAATTTACTTTTATTCCTTTTTCAAGGAATCATACAGGTTGTCTCTAAAAACATGAGTTGATGCCAGACCCTATATTTTGAACCAATTTTCGTTGTCCAATCTAATATTTTAAAACTAGGCTTCCACAGTGCTTCGCACCCATCTTCAATTTTAACCTTTGATTGTAGCTCTACTTTCGGCATTTTAATTTTTTTTAAATGACGCGGATTTAGCGATTTTTTTTCCTAAATAAAAAAAAAACGATTTTTGATTTTCAGACCATCCTTAAACCTTCCTGAGGTCATGTGTTGCTACAAAAAAATTGTTCCTTTTTTACGTTTATTGGATACAAACAAACAGACAGACAGAAAGCCAAGTATAGATAAAGATTGAGGGTCCGGCATAAAATATTGTTAAAAACACCCTGTACGCATGTATACTGTATACTAGGGATGGCAATAGTTTAGGGGTGAATTTCAACCGTTAAAAGGACCTCGAATGATTAAAAACACTAATGTGAGATATTTGATAAACAGCTGACTTGAATTAACTATAAGTTTGCTTTTATTATTTTATGTAATAGTTTTACTTTTACAAAGAAATTGACCAAAACAATTAAAAAAGAACATTCTCATTACAAAGTTAAAAAAATATGAAATGTTAATAAAAAAGGATTCTAAAACGATGTCTCTTTTTATACTTGTTTATTACCTTTCCTGGGCCTTGTAAACAATCTGATTTATATGAACAGTCAATGTAAACAACATTTTCCTCAACACACAACCCATCTTTGTACCTGCAAATATTATAGTTAATACAGTGAGAACCAGAAAACAATGGAAAAGGATGAAGATTATATCTCCTTGTACTTGTATGTGTATTTGATGTTGTTAAAAAGCAAATACTGTGGACACTTTTAAAATCTCTATCTAAGTTTAATGGGTATGTTTACACTGCACAATTGCTGTGTCTCATGCTCTTTAGACTATAACTAAAAGTCGTCTTCTTAATCCAGATTTTTCTGGTTCTCACTTTAAGAAAAACGTAATTTACAATAAAAATATATGGTATCTGCAAAAATGAAAAAAATGTACATGTCTCTAGTCCAACTTTTCAGGACCTGCTTATTATAAAAAAATTAGACCTCTAACTTTAATGGTAAGGGAGGATTTTTAAAAAGTTAAAAATGTATGTCGAAAATTTTTTCAAAAATAGTTTTTTTTAGATTTAACAAATATTAACATATGACACATATTATATTAATTTTTCAAGGCCTTTTAAAATATATTGTTTTAGTCCCATAGCTTAAAAAATAAAAAAGTTATTAACCATTTCTGATTTTTCTTTAACACTGCCCCAACGTTTGAGCCATACCCTTTGCATCAAAAATTTTTTTTAGCAAAATTTGTTCACAACTTGCTGTTTTTTTGGAAAAAGGTTTTGTTAATTGGTGAACCTTAATTTCTTGCTAATTTTTTTGGCAGTGCTAAAAAATTAGGAATGCAATAGTTTTTGTTGCCTCTGTTTCTGTTTTCTGCCTTCTGTCTTAAATCTGGAACCAAATTTTTAACATGTTAATGGGGCAAACCCAACCCTGTTCCTCCGTCTTCTCCAAACCCAGTCACTCAATGTATCACATCAGTTCAGTTTTAAATAACACCACAGTAAACTGCCAGGAGACCAACCTGAAAACAGCCCTGCTATGGCTGCTCTCCTTCGATTGAGAATGAATAGAATTAATATAGATGTCTAATTTTTAAGCTCAATCTATCATATTTTCTACAGAAAAATAAATTTTTAAATTAGATTAGATTAGATATTGAATTCTTGGGGGCATAGGTGGGGGGGGGGGGGGGGGGGGGGAAAGGCGACCAGAACCGTTTTACATATTTTAGTGTACGATTTTAATGATATGCTTTAAACATTTGATGTCATTTGAGGGTCGGAGGCAAAATGTGTTTTTGTTAATACAAAGAATGTTCTTAAACTCAATCGCACACCAAACTGTGACATTCTTTTAAACAAATTATTTTTTCTTTTTGTTTCAAAACTTTTTATGAGAAGATTATTGTCAGCTTGTATAGACTTTAACATATTAAATAAAAAGTAAATTGTAAAAACCGCGTTTTTTACAATGAATTTTCACAACTATTGCTTCCAGACTTAGCCTGAACAGGCTCTAGGTTTGAAATAATGTCTTTAGAATATTAACTGAAAAATCTGATAATTTAGAAAAGTATTTAAGAAAATCTAAAAAGTATGTCTAAGGCAAATATTGCATATTTTCGCGGATTTTCTCATTTTCTTAAAATATTCATATAAAATATCACATTTTGCTTAACAAAAAAAATTAAACCTATGGTATTTTGGTATAGCAGGCCCACCTGAACAATGTACGTTAATCTAATTAATCAGAAAACCCGTGAAATTGCGGATTTTCTAGGGAAACAATGCTTTATGATTTAAAGACTTTATTTTTACTTAATTTTTTCTAATAATTTCACAGACAAAAAAAGATACGTTTTAAATTCACAAGATCTTTACGAACCATTCTTTTACAGCAAGTTATACTGCCAAACAAACGTAATTAGTGTAAAATCAAATTAAGGATCAAAATACAAATTATTTAAATTTATAAAAAGCCGCATACATTTGCATTTCTAATCTATTATGAATATAAACAATTTATCTTAATATTGTTCCTTTTCTTCGATCAAATGGACTATAGAGGTTGAAATGATAACATTATTAAAACATAATGATTTTCTGATTAAGTAGATTCACCTATATTGTTCAGGTGGGCCTGCCATACCTAAATATTATAGGTTTAATTTTTTCAATATAATGCAAAATGTGATTTTTTTATGAATATCATAAGAAAATGAAAATCCGCGAAAATATACAATATTTGCCATGAACATACTTGTTCTTTCTCAAAATTAAATTTGTATGAAACTTAGAATAAATTTCATTTACCTTGTAATGCCAGTGTTCAGGTCTGGATATGATATACCGTGGTGGACGATTATATTAATACAATGAAGACGACTTTATTTTGATTTATATCAAGCTGTTGCTCAGCATGAATATAAGTCTGGATATATTAAGGATTTACAGTGGTAGGCGATTATATCAATACAATGAAGACGACTTTCGATTTCAATTTTGATTGATATCAAGCTGTTGCCCAGCATGATTATACATACTTATAGAAGTTGAGAGAAGCTGTCAATCAAAAAAGTTTCTCTTTGATTGACTTGTAAGCTTGTAATTTGAAAAAAAGCTTGTTAACAATTAAAACTTAAATTAAAAAGTCGTCTTCATTCTATTGATGTAATCGCCTAACACTGTATCTCTACCTGTAATACCAGTATCCAAGTCTGGATATATGAAGGATATATCTCTACCAGTCAGTTGACCGGCCTTGTTTAACTGACCTACAAGGTATCCACCACCTGTAAACACTTCAAACTAAAGTGAATTTCACGTCACGTAAGATTAAAATCATGGCGCCTTTTTTTGAAAAGTTATAAGGAAAACAACAATGTTTTATTTTTCAAATAAAACGCATATACGCATATACATGTGGACGTAAAAGCAGATGTATCTAGACCGAAAATGACTAAACAAAATTTGATAAATTGAAACTTAAAAAAATTTTAAGATATTGTGATTTGATATAATCTCACAAATCTAATCAAAATAATTGGAATTTATTCATAGTTTTTATACTTTATTTCACTATTGTTCTAAAAGCAATACTGAAGTGCACTGATTAAGTGAAATGGGTCTGTTTACACTGCACAATGGTTGTGTCTCATGTTCATGGACTCTTTAAAGTCATAGCTTAAGTCATCTTCTTATTCCAGAGTTTTCTGAAAATCATTGTAGTTTTTTTTCACTGATGAGAAATGAATGACATTGTAAAACATAAATGTCCCTTAGTTTCATAAATTCTAATATTTTACAAATTTAATTTTAAAATGGAAAAGTTCTAAAAGCTATGATGGATTTTATTTTAAATATTTATTTAAAATCATTCTTTTAGATTTTCTTGGTTTCAAGAATTAGGTTTTGATAAAAGTGTGAAATAAAAATAAATATTATTTCATATCTTTAAGTTAAAGTTTAAGACAATCATCTCTTATTTCTTATTTATTTGTTGGAAAAGGGCTCAGATGTTGAAATTGAAAACATTTTCAAAATTCTGAAAAGGAAAATTTCTGATATAATCGTATAAATCCATAAAATTTTCGTAAAGAGTTTTTAAAATTTTAAATAATGACAACATCTTATAAAATACTCCGCACTCTAACAGTTTCATAACCCCGAGCCGGAACAACATTTACTGTATATGCAATCAGTCGTACAATGCAGTTTGGACTAGCTAGTGCAGAGTGGGCCTAGCACGTTTTATGCAACAAATGTAGCCTGGCAAGCTCACAGTGAATAATGTTTCAACATCTAATAATCTATTTATTAAAGCTCTTTGGTCATATATTATGTTTTCTATTATAGCTGAGCAAATAGCTGGACCAAATTGGCTGAATTTTTTTTTGAGGGAACCCAAGGGTACCCCTCCCCTGGGGTGACATATACTGAAACAAAGGAATTGAGTCTTGCCACAAACTTAAATTTTCTGATCCCTATATCTTTGCAACCTGATAGTGTAAAACTTTGATATTTCAAACTTAGATTATTAGATCTAACAGAATTTATAGTTTGAAATAACTAAGGTCTACAACATTTGGTTGCAAGACTCAATTCCTTTGGACATTTTTTAATGTTTGCCGGGCAATTCAGCAAACATTATTCTGCCGGGCAATTCAGCAATTCAGCTGATTGCTGAATTCAGCAATTCAGCAATCAGCTGATTGCTGAATTCAGCAATTCAGCAAACATTATGATTTAATACCAAGCGCGGGCCGGTTAACGGCGGGAGTGTCTAAAGTAAATATTGGCAAAGCCGGGCATCTCAGCTAGTGTGTACATACATTAATGTACGAACCTGTACAACACTGCCAGACATATCCAGATGGAGTACCGTTGGTGTACAAACAAACCTAAATATATTTTTTATCTAAACCCTTTTTTTAAATAAAAAAAATTTGTATTAATTCAGAACAAGAAATTTATCATATCTATTCGTTTCATGAAATATGTCTTTTAATAATGCATAATTTTACAGTTGACAGAACTAATTTTATTTTGTCTTTTTTCTCAAATTGACGGAGATTTAATTTGCAGTCCAGGTGCTTTCAACCAAATTCCACCCAAAGGTCGTTTTCAAAAGTCTGTATTTCACTGTAATTTTTATGCTGTAATGTGGAGAAAAATTAGATTGTTCTTTGATCATAAAATGATTGTTATGATATATTTTATTTAAATAAAATGTTTTATTACATTTATTAGCCTGTGATCTCTGTCGAATGTTTTTGAAAATCCATGAAGACAACCCTGATGGAATCTACAGTAGGTTTCATCTCCATTCATCCATTCTATCTAAACTCATTTCCATTATTCATCCATAAATTTAGAAAATACTTGCTTCAGATTGGAAAACGACATGGGCAACATTCCAACGGCTGAACATTTTATTAATTAAAGAAATGTTTAATGGCAACAGGGGTGGATATCTGTCATACTTGTATATGCTTCCTCATAATTAGTACATTTTCAATAGTGTGCGTTAGTTGTAATTAAATGTTCTTTACCTTGGATGGTAGAAAAGGGTGTACTTTGCGTTGGGAGTAAAACTGTGATTAACCTACAAATATTAATATTAACTACAGTCGTAGTCGCATATATCTATACAATGAAGACGACTTTTGATTTCAATTTTGATTTATATCAAGCTGTTAAACAGCATGAATACGCATAAACATAGAAGTCAAGAGAAGCAGTCAATTAAAAAGCTTCTCTTTGATTACTTGCAAACAATTATAATTCGAAAAAAGCTTGCTAACAATCAAAACTTAAATAAAAAGTCGTCTTCATTTTACTGATATAAACGCCTCTACCACTAAATTGTAAGTAAAACTTTAATTTTGAAAGTTTTGAGCTGAATGCATTATTCTGCAGTTTGAGCTTAATGCATTATTCTGCAGTTTTAAAATATAGTGACTAGTGAGGTATGGTATGAACTATAATTATCTCATTTATAAATGTAAACTAAAAAAAGCAGTTCCAGTATAGACAAAAATTTGAATTTTATTTAAAAAAAACTAAATTTTAAAGAATTATTAACTATAACACTTAAGACTGAAACAAGGATTTTTATAAAAACACTTTTTTTTGTCTTATCTAAAGACAATTCAAAAAATTTTATGTTCATAAAAAAACTTTATAATGTCAGTGTTTATCAAGTTAACCTTAATTTCGCAGACATTACCCCTTTTTAATGAAATGACACGAAAGCGAACAATTTAAGCTAACCAACAATAGCAAACTAGTTGGCTAGCTTAGAGATAGGCCTTTTCCTGTTTTTTTTTGTTCATTTCATTCGTTCATCGTTTGTAAACGACCCATTTCGTTCGGTTTTTTAATCCTTAAACAAATATTTTCTGTTTAAAATTATCGTTCATGTTTCATTTATTTCGTTCGTTTTCTCACTAGTCACTGAGTTTAGGAAAATCGTTCGTTCAGTAAAAACCGATTGTTCTTTTAAAAGTTTGACGTTCGTTCAGTAATAAACGATCTTTTAAAATTTTGTTAGAAACAACCGTTCGTTTATCAAAAACAATCGTTTTTTTTCATTTCTCTGAACGATCCAAGTCGTTCGTCCATTGTTCTTTTTTTCTTAACGTCACCGATCTCAATCATTCTAAAAATGATATCATAAAGATTACCTTGTGGGCTAAAGTAGCAACATATTGGCTGGTTTCTCGCCAGCACGCTGGAATATCTATAATTCGCTCGAATCCTAAAAAAATTAAAAAATTAAAATTTTTGCTGATTGGTTCAGTTTTTTGCAACAATTTTAAAGTTTAAAGATGTCTGTACAGATTTTATTTGGTCTTATTTAAAAAATTCATTGTTCCCTTCAGTTGAATGATTCCTTTTTTTGGCGGCATCTTGCCCTTCTATATAAAAAATCAATAGAAATAAAAAAGAAGAGAAGAGAGTATTAGAGTGAAATTTAGCCGGAAAAGGTGTAAAACCGCCATTTTGTTTTAAAGCCCCGTTCCCCTGGAAGGATATAATGCAGTTCTGAAAAAAAGCAAGTCTGCATACTGAATATCGGTATGCAGAAATTATTTTTTTTCCTTGATCTGCTTCAACTTTATTTATTGCCTCTTGAATTTTTTTCTAAATTGCTGCAGACTCACCTTATTATCCTTTATTAATACCCCAGTATTACCTTCTTCATCTGGAGAAACCAGACTCAATATTTTATAAGCATCATTTTCCCAGTTTTCATCCCTGAAAATATTGATTGAGTAAGGGAAGAATATTCACCTTCAAGTGTCAAAGGTAAGAAGGCAAAAATTTAACATCAATTCGTTTAGTTTTATTTGGGTTGGTTGTGTTTTGTTTTTTGCTTTTGATTTTTTTTTGGTTTGGTTTTGATTTTTTTTTTGGTTTGGTTTTGATTTTTTTTTCAATCTGGTGCGTCTACATGAACTTATCCATAACGGGGGATTTTCCCACATAACCCCCCCCCCCCCCTATACATAGATACCTCTATTTTGATTGGTTTGCCTGATTAAGTGACTTAGAATTCTTTGTTTCTATTTTTATCCCAACTTTTTAGTGGAGTCACATGAATAATAAAGATAGATGGGATTAAATGTTAAATATTTTATTCCTCTGAAAATTTCTCCAAAGCAACATTCAATCGAAATAAGGTGGGTTAGAGGAGGGTACCTGGGGTAACACAATTATTCTCTTACTAACATTTAAAAAAAATACTAAATCAATCTAAATGCAATGATGTTTCAGAAGTGCACAAAAAAAGAATTTTAATATTTTAAGTTAATTTATGTAAAAACTAGCTGAAGCGCACGGATTTGGACGGGTTATATTATTATTTTAGACACTCATTGTTAAATCACGAGTTTGAGCTGAAATGCCCCGGGGTTTCCCTCCAAATTTTTGTTTGGTCCCTGGATTCACCTGTTATAAAGTTTGTCCCTGGATTTACCTGTTATAAAGTTGGTCCCTGGATTCACCTGTTATAACGTTTGTCCCTGGATTCACTTATTATAAAGTTGGTCCCTGGATTTACCTGTTATAAAGTTTGTCCCTGGATTCACCTGTTATAAAGTTTGTCCCTGGATTTACCTGTTATAAAGTTGGTCCCTGGATTCACCTGTTATAAAGTTTGTCCCTGGATTCACCTGTTATAAAGTTGGTCCCTGGATTTACCTGTTATAAAGTTGGTCCCTGGATTCACCTGTTATAAAGTTGGTCCCTGGATTCACCTATTATAAAGTTTGTCCCTGGATTTACCTGTTAAAAAGTTTGTCCCTGGATTTACCTGTTATAAAGTTTGTCCCTGAATTTACCTGTTATAAAGTTGGTCCCTGGATTTACCTGTTATAAAGTTGGTCCCTGGATTCACCTATTATAAAGTTTGTCCCTGGATTCACCTTTTATAAAGTTGGTCCCTGGATTTACCTGTTATAAAGTTTGTCCCTGGATTCACCTGTTATAAAGTTGGTCCCTGGATTCACCTGTTAAAAAGTTTGTCCCTGGATTTACCTGTTATAAAGTTTGTCCCTGGATTTACCTGTTATAAAGTTTGTCCCTGAATTTACCTGTTATAAAGTTGGTCCCTGGATTTACCTGTTATAAAGTTTGTCCCTGGATTCACCTATTATAAAGTTGGTCCCTGGATTCACCTGTTATAAAGTTGGTCCCTGGATTCAATTGTTATAAATTTTGTCCCTGAATTTACCTGTTATAAAGTTGGTCCCTGGATTTACCTGTTATAAAGTTTGTCCCTGGATTTACCTGTTATAAAGTTTGTCCCTGGATTCACCTATAATAAAGTTGGTTCCTGGATTCACCTGTTATAAAGTTGGTCCCAGGATTCACCTATTATAAAGTTAGTCCCTGGATTTACCTGTCATAATGTTGGTCCCTGGATTCACCTATTATAAAGTTTGTCCCTGGATTCACCTCTTATAAAGTTGGTCCCTGGACTCACTTATTAAAAAGGTGGTCACTGGATTTACCTATCATAAAGTTGGTCCCTGGAATTACTTATCATAAAGTTGGTCCCTGGAATTACCTATCATAAATTTGGTACCTGGAATCACCTATCATAAAGTTGGTCCCTGGATTTACCTGTTCAGATCTTTTGATGAGATGACTGTTCCATTGTAGAAGGCCAGCATTGTGTTTGCTGGTACACAACCCCGTACAAACAATCCTTCACCCAGGCCGGGTATCTATAGATAAAGATTGATCGTTTTCACTTTAAAAAAAAAACAATAGTTTCCTTTTAACGATCGAAGAAAAAACGAAACGGTCGTTTTTAAGAACAACTGTTTTTAAAAATATCTGATTTTTTAGATTAAAAATCAAGTCGTTTTTTAGCTATAAAATTTGTCGTTTCCTTAAGGGAGGTACAAAGGTGGAATTTTTAATTTTTGACAATCGTTAACGATCGTTATAACGACCTATTTATAGAGAAAATACCTATTTTTTTATATTACTAAAGGGAGTGTTCACGAAAAATGAAGGAAGGTCTAGGCTGGATTCCAATCAAGATTGGATTTGATCGTTACTAATTTTACTTCAATGTAAATCGTCTATGAGGAGTTAATATATTTTTTTGATTGTTTACCTTAGATGGTGAGACAAAAACAAGCTTAGATTCATATGGGTCTGGGAGCAGAGGATACTCACTAGAATATAAAGGGTGTATTTTTAAAAAAATTTCTGTTGCTAGGTAACAATTTAAGTGTTAAATGCTGCCTTTCAAGCGACCATTTTTTCTTCTAGGTTTAATTTAGACATTTATTTATTTTTAAAATTGAAAAAGTCAACATTTTTACTATGCAATATTTTTTACTTTTAACTGCCCATAAACCTTCCGATTTGAAGTTTATTGGATACGACAGACAAATTTATAGTTTATAGCTCTGCAGTTAGGTACTGCAGCACAAAAATAATAATTATAGCAAAAGTAAAAATTAAACAATCAGCAGACATGGCGTAAACAAAAATAAGTTTTAGAAAAATTTCCAAGATTCTATCTTTATTCTTTACTCGCATGGGAACCCGACGTTGCCCAGGGTACTCATAATTACTCCCGCCGTTTACCCGTACTTGGTGAATTTTCGCTTTAAGGTTGACCCACTCAACTAAGAATATGAAAACCAAGTTCCCGACTCAAAATTTGAAGTAAATCAGTCAAAGGGTTCCTGAGTTATGATCGGACAAACAAACAGACAGACAAACAGAGATTACAACTTTATATATATATATATATATAAAGAACATTTTAAATTCCTTTTCTAGCGGTAATAATAAAAAACACCGTTCTTGTTCATAAAATGTTTATTCAAAGGAGCTTTTTTAAAAATGGAATTAGAATTTAAGGAAGTGAAATGTGACTATAACTTATGGGAATTTAAAATCGATATTGAACAAGTATCATCGCATTTGAAGGTTAAAAAAAAATAAAAAAGATTCTGATTTTAATTTCTGAATCACTACAGTATACTAATGAAGGGCTTCATTGGGTATTTCAGGAACAAACTTATTCAGAATATAGTTTGAAATTTTTTATTATTGGATTGTTAAATTGAGTATAGAATTGAGCTCACCAGATTAAGGTAGCAGATCCAGGCTCACATTTGATCAGTTTACTTGAGATTTGTTGAAATTTCAGCTCAAACATATCATCTCTTCAGTAAAATATAATATTAATCAGCTCAAACATATCATCTCTTCAGTAAAATATAATATTAATCAGCTCAAACATATCATATCTTCATTATCATATAATATTAATCAGCTCAAACTTATCATCTCTTCAGTAAAATATAATACTAATCAGCTCAAAAATATCATATCTTCATTATCATATAATATTAATCAGCTTCAAACATATCATCTCTTCATTAAAAATATAATATTAATCAGATCAAACATATCATCCGTTATTAAAAACAATATTAATCAGCTTCAAACATATCATCTCTTCATTATAATATAATACTAATCAGCTCAAACATATCATATCTTCATTATCATATAATATTAATCAGCTTCAAACATATCATCTCTTCATTAAAAATATAATATTAATCAGATCAAACATATCATCCGTTATTAAAAACAATATTAATCAGCTTCAAACATATCATCTCTTCATTATAATATAATACTAATCAGCTCAAACATATCATATCTTCATTATCATATAATATTAATCAGCTTCAAACATATCATCTCTTCATTAAAAATATAATATTAATCAGATCAAACATATCATCCGTTTATTAAAGACAATATTAATCAGCTTCAAACATACCATCTCTTTATTACAATTTCATATCAATCGGCTCAAACATATCATCTCTTCATTATGATTAATAATCAATCAGCTAAAACATATCATCTCTTTATTATAATATATGATCAATCGCTCAAACATATCGTCGGTTCATTAAAATATAATATTGATCAGCTCAAACATATCTCTTCATTATAATCTAATATTAATCAGCTCAAACATATCATCTCTTCATTTTAATATAATATTAATCAGCTCAAACATATCATCTCTTCATTATAATATAATATTAATCAGCTCAAACATATCATCTCTTCATTATAATATAATATTAATCAGCTCAAACATATCATATCTTCATTATAATATAATATTAATCAGCTCAAACATATCATCTCTTCATTATAATATAATATTAATCAGCTCAAACATATCATATCTTCATTATAATATAATATTAATCAGCTCAAACATATCTCTTCATTATAATTTAATATTAATCAGCTCAAACATATCATCTCTTCATTATAATATAATATAATCAGCTCAAACATATCTCTTCATTATAATTTAATATTAATCAGCTCAAACATATCATCTCTTCATTATAATATAATGTTAATCAGCTCAAACATAACATCTCTTTATTACAATTTCATATCAATCGGCTCAAACATATCATCTCTTCATTATAATTAATAATTAATCAGCTCAAACATATCATCTCTTCATTATAATTAATAATTAATCAGCTCAAACATATCATCTCTTTACTATAATATAATATTAATCAGCTCAAACATATCATATCTTCATTATAATATAATATTAATTAGCTCAAACATATCATCTCTTCATTATAATATAATATTAATCAGCTCAAACATATCATCTTTTCATTATCATAAAATATCAATCAGCTCAAATATATCATATCTTCATTATGTATCTAATAGAAATTGAATTAAGTTATGTAATTAAAATTTAGTTATGTAACAAAAATTGAGTTATGTAACAAAAATTAAGTTATGTAACCGAATTTGAGTTATGTAATAGAAATTTAGTTATGTAACAAAAATTGAGTTATGAAACACAAATTGAGCTAAGTAATAAAAATTGAGTTATGAAACACAAATTCAGTCATGTAGTTAAAATTGAGGTATGTAATACAAATTTAGTTTTGTAATAAAAATCAAGTTATATAATTAAAATTAAGTTATGAAAAGAACAAACTTTAATATTGCTGAGATGATGGCTGATATATGTCCACATATTAATCTACCGCTACAGTAGGTTCCTAAAATGATT